GACTATGGGCGCTGCTTGGATAGGTGAGTGGGGCCTTGGTAAACCCTGAGCTCAGGCCCTGGTGATGTGTGCAGAAATGGGGAGTCGGATGGCGCTGGAGCGATAGCACAGCAGGTAGGGCGTTTGCCTTGCAAGCAGCTGACCCGGGTTTGATTCCCAGCATCCCATAGGGTCCCCCGAGCACTGCCCAGGAGTAATTCCTGAGCGCATGAGCCAGGACTAACCCCTGTGCATTGCCGGGTGTGACCCCAAAAGAAAAATAAAAAGAAATGGGGTGTTGGTAATGCTTCCTGGGGTGTGAAGGCCGGGGGGGGGGGTGCCAGGTCTCTGATGGTGTCCACTGAGACCAGAATGCAGTCATGGAGGAGTTTCAGGAGGTCATAGGCAGCCCAGAGACATGGGCAAGGACAGGGGTACACTGAACGCATCTGGGCCCTCCCACCTGCCCCTCAGCCGACAGCCCCTCTGGTCACTGCAGGAACATCCTGGTCCTCCTCAACGCTTTCGAGCTGCCTGACCAGAGTGTGTCCCATGAGGCCTACCCCGCCCTGCTCACACACCTCAACGCCACACACCCTGAGCACCTGGCCAGGCTCCCCCTGGAGGTGTGCCACCTGCAGGACTTCCTGGACAAGGTGCCGGGGCCCAGGGTCACAAATGCCCCCAACTGCCAGGGTCCCCGTCTATGTGGAAAGTATATGTGTGGAGTGTCCCAAATGTGTGGTGAGTCCATCTGTGTGGGAGTCCCCCGTCTGTGGAGAATCCCCCACCTGTGGCAAGTCCCCCGTGTGTGTGGTAAGTCTCCTGTCTGTGTGTGGGTCCCCGTCTGTATGGGCATCCCTGTCTGTGTGGGCGCCCCGTCTGTGTGGGAGTTCCCATCTGTGTGGGCGTCCACCCTCGTCTCTGTGGGCATCCCAATCTGTGTGGTGAGTCCTTCTGTGTAGGCGGGACCGTCTGTGTAGTGAATCCTGTCTGTGTGGTTGAGTCCCCCGTCTGCGTGAGTCTCCGTCTGCGTGGAGCTCCTGACTGGTGAGCGGCCGTCTGTGTGGGAGTCCCCCTCTGTTTGGGTGTCCCCTGCCTGTGTGGGCCTCCCAGTCTGTGTGGGCGTCCCGGTCTGTGCGGTGAGGCCGTGTCAGGTGCCAGCCGGCGTGTATTGCAGAGTGCATCAGGCACAGGCCTGGCCTTCATCGTGTTCACGGAGGCCATCCTGCACATGCCCGGGGCGCCCGCCTGGGCCGTGCTCTTCTTCGGGATGCTCCTGTCCCTGGGCCTGTCGTCCATGTTCGGGAACATGGAAGGGGTCATCACGCCACTCCTGGACATGGGGGTGCTGCCCACGGGGATTCCCAAGGAGCTCCTGACTGGTGAGTGGCCGGCCCTCGGCGGCTCTGGGGCACACCCCACCCTCCCGGGGGGACCCCTCGGCACCTGCTCATCGGTGCTGTCCGCAGGGCTCGTCTGCCTGGTCTGCTTCCTCACAGCCACCTGCTTCACGCTGCAGTCGGGCAGCTACTGGCTGGAGATCTTCGACAGCTACATGGCCTCCCTCAACCTCCTCACCCTGGCGCTGCTGGAGGTGGTGGGCGTGGCCTTCGTGTATGGGCTGGAGCGGTGAGCGACCCCCAAACCCCGACGGACCCCTTCCTCATCCCGGCCCTCGGCCCCGCCCTCCCCCTCAGTCCCGCCCCTCACCTGACCCCCTGGCCCCGCCCCTCGCTCTCGGCCCCGCCCCTCGCTCTCGGCCCCGCCCCTCACCTGACCCCCCTGGCCCCGCCCCTCGCTCTCAGCCCCGCCCCTCACAGAGCCTTGTCCCGCCCCTCACCTGACCCCCCCTGGCCCTGCCCCTCGCTCTCGGCCCCGCCCCTCACCTGACTCCTGGCCCCGCCCCTCGCTCTCAGCCCCGCCCCTCACAGAGCCTTGTCCCGCCCCTCACCTGACCCCCTGGCCCCGCCCCTCACCTGACCCCTGGCCCCGCCCCTCGCTCTCGGCCCCGCCCCTCACAGAGCCTTGTCCCGCCCCTCACCTGACCCCTGGCCCCGCTCTCGGCCCCGCCCCTCGCAGAGCCTTGCCCCGCCCCTCACCTGACCCTCAGCCCCGCCCCATCCCGACCCTTCATTCAGCTCCATCCTCAGCCCCGCCCCCTCCGCTCCCCCCGTTTCGCGGTCCCGTGCCCCCTTCCCTGGCGGCCGCTTCTGTCATCATTCCTCATCCCCTTGGTCCGTCCTGCTCCCCAGTGTCTCCTGGACACCATGTGGACAGCTGACCTGGCACCGCCCGCCTCCCAGGACCCCTGTCCCCCGTGTCCACAGTCCGCCTCCCGCCCAGAGCGCCCTGTCCTGTCCTCTCAGTGGTGGCCGCCCTCCCGTCCCCTGCACAGGTTCTGCGCCGACGTGGCCTGGATGACGGGGCGGCGGCCCGGCCTCTACTGGCGGCTGAGCTGGAAGGTGGTCAGCCCCCTGCTGCTGTTGGTCGTGCTCGTGGCCTACGTGGCCCTCCTGGCGCAGACACCGCCCACCTACTGGGCCTGGAACCCCGACTATGTAGGTACCCTGCTCTGCCTGGAGGGGAGGATGTGCCTGGCTGCCCCGTGGGGCCGGGGTTGCTCTGCTGGATGCCTGACCTCAGGGGTCATTCCTGTGTTCCGGGCAGCTGCCACAGATAAGGGCCACCTGCTGCCCCCACGCGGGGCAGAGGGTCTCAGGCTGCCCAGGCGCTCCTCCCGGAGCACACTGTCCCGAGCCTGTGCCTCTGCCCACCCAGCCCTGACCCTCTGCCCATCACGCCATGTCCCTGCAGGAGAAGTTCCCTGGGCGGCAGGAGAAGTCCTACCCTGGCTGGGTGCAGGCCATCTGCGTGCTCCTGTCCTCCCTGCCCGTGCTGTGTGTTCCTGCCGTCGCCCTGACCCAGCTGCTCACTCGCCGCAGAGGGAAGCACCAGGACGGTGGAGCCAGCTGAGGGGAAGGGGTGGGAGGGACAGGCGCCCCCGACAGACAAGCTCCATTACACGCGTGTCCCCACTTCAGGCCCATTGGCCGTGGTTGCTTCCCCCACCACGCTGCGCCCGGATCCAGCTCCATCACCACCCGGGACCACTCTCCTGATGGCTGGGAGTCCGTTAGTCCTGCACTGTGCAACCTGGGAGTCATGCGAGGCACCTGATCAACTGTGGAATAGGGCAAGGCTTGAGAGGCCCCTGCTGTGTCCCATGGGTGGGGTCCCCAGTCACACCACTCAGCATCACACACCCATTCCTCCCTCTCACCCCTCCCTCTCTCCCTCTTCCCTCACTGTTCCTCAGACCACCCAGCCCTCACAGCGGCTCACACACACTTCCACTCCCCTCCCTCCCCCACACCCACTCTGGCCAGTGCTCTCCCTTGGCTCTCCAGCTGGGTGACCAGGGCCTACACAGCTCCATGTGCTGGGTCTTCTGCCTGCCTCTGCCAGTCCGCCCACCTGGATGATCCTGGGTGTGCATTCGCTCCATGCAGCGCTTAGACCGAAACCTTCCCAAGGCACAGGCACTGTCCAGGGTCCTGAAAAGTTGTAGACCAAGTCCGTGTGTCCACATGGGCCTCTGGCATCAACCCACATTGGGAACCACCAGGATGCCCCATACCTCATGCTCTATCAAGCCCAGGATGTACCCCATCCCTGCCCTACTGTCATGGCCAGTCCCGTGCCTGGCCCTGCCCCGTGGGCCCACCTTCCTCCAGCGTGGAGCTCCTAGGATTGTACCAGGCCACAGGTACTAAATACCCCCCAACACACCAGCTGTGACCCCCCAGGCACCCCCAGCCCCCTGGTGACGCCAGGACCAGGACACCCAGCAGCCCCTTACCCCACTGGGTCAGGCACTTGCGGCTGTGCAGAGGGGCCCTTCTGGTGCAGGGGGACACGTCCTGCATCTTAGTGTGTTTATGACCCCTCAGACATGCCGGGCATGAGGTGAGGGCACACGGGCATCAGGATATTGGCATGGAAAGGGCTCAGTTCAGCACACTGATGTTGGCACTACCATCTGCATTAGGCCACCAACTGTGAGCCAGTGTCCACGTGTCAAGGGCTGGCAGGAGTGCGGTGGATGCTTAGGTTTAGGGTGTTGACAGGAGAGGAGCACCAGGGGCTTAGGGTCAAGCCCCCAAGCAGGCAGGTCCCTGGAGGGGAGGCCATCCCCTGCAGAGCAGGCTGGCAAGAGGGGACAGGCCAGCAATGACCACTGGGCCAGGCATCCGCGGTGTCCCCAGGGGCCGGTGCCATGCAGAGGGGCCCTTCTGGCACAGGGGGACACCTCCTGCATCTTGGTGTGTTTATGACCCCTCTCGGACTTGGACCGGCCATAAACTGCTGCGGGCACCTGGGTGTGGGCAGTGCTGGCACCAGGGCACTGCTGCGTCAGCGTGTGACCAAGGGCAGTTAGTGCCAGGTCCATGCCAGAACTTCCATCCCACTGCGCTGACTCCACAGCTCTGCTTCAGGGTTCTGCCAGCAGGAGTCCTCGGGAACCATAAGCTACAGGTTCCCTGCGCGCGCCCCCGCCCCCTGCATGCTGTGGCCAGACCCTCCTGGAAAGGTCGGCACCTGCACTCCAGGGAGCAGGGCAGCAGAAATGGGCACTGAAGGGCCCAGACCCGCTGTCGTCCGCTCCAGGTGTGACGCCTCACTTGCCATTCCTTCCTCTCAGCACACCCCACCCAGTGACCCTCGCAGAGGACCCAGACCCCCTCCCCCCCCCCCCCACACACATACGCCCAAGGCAGCACACACCATCACACATTAATTTGGACATCAGAACTGTCAACATGTTCCTGGTGTTCCGGGGGCAGCAGAGAGCGTGAGTGGGGCAGAGGCCAGGCTGAGGAGCATCTGGGCAGGGATGCTGGAGGCTGCCCCAGAGCTAGCCGGAAGGTGACCCTCCAGGCACGGCTGTAGCCACCAGGGAAGGGAGTGACAGAAACTCCTGAGTGATGCTGGATCCCTACTGAGGGCTGGGCACCGTGGCCTGGGGGGCAGCGTGGCTCAATCTAGGATGGTCCTGAAGTCGGCGATCAGGGCAGGGCAGGATGCTGCGTCCAGGGCGGCCAGCGTGGCCCGTGGAAGCTGCCGGCGCAGCTCCTCTTGGGCTATGAGGGAGGAGTAGAGGCTTGACCTGGAGACCGGAAGGGGGACCCGGGCCCAGGGAGACATTGTCAGGGGTGGGGAGCGGGTTGCGGGCTGCCAGCATCCCTCACCTGCGCGGAGGGGCCCCAGCAGGCGGCAGTAGGTGGCCGTGTGGCGGCCCAGCTTCAGCAGGAAGGCCCTCAGGCACAGCCACTGTGCTGCTTCCTGCGGGAACAGGCCCGAGGCTCCCGGCGCCCCCAGTGACATTCCTGGGACACACGGAGACTGAGGCCCTGCCCTGCCGCTCTCTCAGGGGCACCCAGCACTAGCACCCTGGGCTGACCACCAAACACCTCCCTGTCCACAAGGTCCCCTAGGCCCAGCTACCCCCAACCTAAGGAGGCTGAGAGCTGGCCAGGGGTGGGCAGGGGCGGGACACAGGCTCCCTGGCCTGCACACCTGGGTTCCGGGCACACAGGAGGGTGTGGCCGTGGGCAGCAGTGTCCCACACCAGCCGGAGGAAGAAGCCGGGGTTCTGGTGGACGCCCTGGCCAAACGGGAGCTGCAGGACGCAGGCGTGGAACCTGAGGGGCACAGGGGTGGGGCGGGGCGAGGTGTGGGCGGCGCGGCGGGGGCAGGGGCCGCATTGGTCTCCAGGGCACGGTGGAGCTCTGCCGGCGTCACCATGGAGGCCAGGGCAAAGTCTAGTCTCCTGAGGAAACTGGGCACTCGACCACAGGGAGGGGCCCCGGGGCCGGGGTCACCCACCGACCCCAAGCTTCCGGAGATGCCCTCCCTCCTGCCAGGGGCCAAGACCTGCCTTCAGGCCTCCCCGGCAGGTATGCAGGCCCCCACGCCCAGGCGGGACACAACAACCCTACTGTCCACCTCAGCCCCAGGCCCGGGGGAGGGCAGAGGGAGCACAGACGTGTGGAGCGGGCAGGCCCCTGGATGGACACAACAGAGAATAGCCAGGGGAAGGCAGGGACAGCCCCTGTGCTGCGGTCTCTGCTGACCCCTGGTGGCCAGGCCCTACCTGTAGGCCTGCAGCAGGAAGATCTTGTAGATGGCCGTGTAGACTGTGGGCAAGGAGTTCACCTGCGACAGGAGAGAAGCTGGGCAGGGAGGGCAGGACCAGCTCTCCTGGGCAAGGACCTCAAGTGGCACACGCCTGCACGCACACACGTGCACATGCGCACACACCCTGCTGCACCCTTTGCACATAGCAGGGGCCTGACCCGTGCTCCCGCACCCTCTCACATGCCACGGCAGGCCCAGGAGCCCACTCACCTGCAGGTCCAGGAAGAGCCCATGGCACTTGAGCCGCAGGACCTGGAGGAGTTTACGCCGCATGTTCCTGCCAGGTTTGTGGCCCTGGGAGAAGGCGAGGCTGGCGCGGATGGACGTCTGGGCGTAACTGCAAGGGGGCAGGGGTCCCTGACTGCCCTAGGGATGCGGGCGGGGCCTGCCAAAGCTCAACACTGCCCCCATATCACCACATGCATACACACAAGCAAGCACATGCATGCGCGCGCACATACACGGGGCCCCACGTCCGTACCCGATGCACTTCACCTGACCCTGCCACGTCCCGGGGCTTCCCAGCCGGCACCCAGGTTCTCCTGGGCCAACCTCTACACTCACGCTGCACTGAGAACACTCTGGAACCATGCAGTACCCAGCTGCTGGGAGCTGGACTCCCCAGGCCCCTCCCCCACACGCCAGCACACCCGGTGTCAACTTGAGGGGGCTCGTCCCACAAACCCCTACCTGGAGTAGTCGCAGCACACCTCCAAGCTGCGCGTGTCCAGCAGCAGGCCACACCAGGGGAACAGGCAGTGGGCCGGGAGCTGGTGGGGCACCACGGCCCCCAGCTCGCCTGCCTGCACAGGGAAGTTCACCAGCGTCTTCTGCGGGCTGGCAGTGCAGCCATACTCGGGGACCCCGCTCAGCAGCGTCCTGCGGGAGGAGGCACTCAGCTCTCCACGACAGCACACAACTGGCAGCGTACACGGTGATTTATGGGCGAAAGCGTACACGCATGGCGGTGCACTGAGACAGTGTGCCCGTGTGGCAATTGTGTGTCACATCACGTGTGGCAGTGCGAATGTCCAAGCACGTGGGCAAGTGTGTACGCGTGGCAATAGTGTGCATCAGCGTGTGTGGCTGTTCACATGGCAGATTACACATGTGGGGGACAGTATGCTGTGTGGCACTACATGCATGTAACAAGCATGTGCATATCAGAGTACATGTGTGCAAATGACTGCATGTCACAGTGGGCACACACGACTTTGCAGCAGCAGCAGTGGAAAGGGGGTCAATTTGGAGTGGTCACTGCAAGGGTCTGGTGGGAGGTGGCAGAAGTGGACACAGAAGAGGAAGTGGGTGGCTGGGCTCTCTCGGACACATGCAGCAAGACCAGATCCACCTGGGGGTGTCCCAAGATGCCTAGTTGAGTGGCCCCCGGCCAGCCTGAGAAGGGAAGGTCCCCACCCATGACACTTCAGGTGAACACTGGGCTTAGGGGAGGGGACCCCACACCAGCTTTCGGTCCAGTGTCCTGCCCCTTGTGTGCGCCGAGTCCTCCCAGTCTGACAGCACACAGAAGGGGTGGACACCAGGGTCTGGAGGTAGGACTATGCCATGTGGCCAAGCAATCGAAGACCACGGAGACACTGAGGCCTCACCTGAGAAAGGCCTTGGCCTGGGTCAGGTGTGGGGTGACCAGCAGGAAGTCGTCCACCAAGCGCAGGAGCAGCCTGCAACGAGGCCAGGTGGTGGCTGAGTCAGATGGGTAGAGGACGCATCCAGCCCCCCACCACAGGGTTTTGTCCCCACCCCACCCCAGACTCCTGCCCGGCCCTGGCAGGGACACATCCCGTACCCATCCTGCTGGGTCCCGGCAAACAGCGTCTCCTCCATGTGGCCGTAGCAGAGGCTGCAGAGCAGCGTGGAAAGGATGGAGCCCTGGGGGATGCCCTGGCACTGCACATAGTACCTGACACAGGGACCAAGAGTGGGCAGTGTCCTCGTACACACAAGCAGACGGTACAGCACTTGTGGCCAGACACACTTCGACACGCAGAGACAAGCAGCACTCGCCACCACCCTGCCCGGGTCTGTCCTGTCCCTAGCCCAGCAGCGCCCCAAGTCCCCGAGCTGGGGGTGGGGGTGAGAAGCATGGGGGGAAGGCAGGGGAAGTTAATCCCAGAGCAGCTGGAACCTGGGTGGACAGCGGTGGGCCCCCCACTCACTTGTTCCTGATCCTTATGACGTGATTCCGCAGCAGGTGCAGGAAGAAGTCAAAGAGGCGGCCGCTAGCCTCATTCAGAGAGAAGCTCTGATGCAAGAGGGGAAGGGGAGGACAGTGAGGCCAGCAGACGGTGACCCAGGGGCCAACTCAACCGCGCCTCGGGTGCCTCTGCCTGTCCCAGCAGGGACACAGCCACCACAGTCCCGGGCGCGCCCACCCCCCCGCACGGCCCCCTACCTGCTCCACCAGCACAGCGTCCCGAAGCGAACCAGCCTCCTGCAGCTGCTGCACAAACTGACTGAGGTAGGGCCGGAGGTCCGCCAGCGTGGACACCTGCAGCAGACGTGGTGAGGGGCTGCTCCCACACTGTCCCAGGACCCCAGACAAGAACTTGGACTGCAGAGCCCGCGTGGGGGAGGGAGGCAGGGCCATATATCAGGAAGCAGTGACTGCTTTGGGCACTACCCTCCGTCCCCACCAGGTGTGCCACACCCCAGGAGACACCTGCCGGCTGGTGGGCAGCAGACCTGGGGCATGAGAAGGGGTCCCTACCACACAGGACACCCCGCGAGTGACAGGGCAGGAGTGTGGTAGGCACTTAGGACACCCCCCAACTCAGGGCATCTGGGGGCTACTCGTGTGTGTAGGGAGCCCCCCCCCCCCGCCAGGGCCGTGGAAATGACCTCCACAGATGGCCACGGGTGCCTGGTCCTGGACAGCACCATCATACAACCAAGGGCCCCTACCACCTTGCTGCCCTGTGCCCAGGTCAGCCAAGAACCACTCCCATGGTCCAGCACACCCTGGAGACACACAGGAATCCCTGCAACCAGGCAGACCCACAGACCACGGCGTGTGCGTGACAGCACACGCACATACCCGATGTGCTATGTGCACCGTGGCACACGCCAGACATGCAACATCACAGGCACCATGGCACACGCCAGACACGCAAAATCACAGGCACCACAGCACATGCCACGTGCCAGATACCCCCGGTCACACGCTGTCATGGCCAGGTTGTGTCATGCACCACGTGCTTCAGCTGCCGTGCGACTCAAGAATGCCCACAGGGATAGACCCACAGCCCCCCAGTTCTTACATTTGTCTTGAAGGCCCTGCGGGCAAGCCCATGGGGGCCTCCCTGGACCACCGCATACCGGCGCTCACAGTAGGTGCCGTCACGGGGCTGAAGCGCTCTGGCGACTACCTGCACCACCTTGTCCTGAGGGAGCGTGTCGTAGGCCCCTGTCACATCTACCTGGCGAGCAGGAATGAGGGGCCTGGGCAAAGGCTCCGGTTGGATGAGGGAACCCAGACCCCACACCAGGACATGACTGGCCTGGGGCACAGCACCACCCCTGGGGGGTGAGCACCCGGGCCCCCTGGGGGTAGCACCCACCTTCACGAACCACAGCTGGGGTGCAGGGTCCTGGGACCGCTGGCGCAGGGCAAAGTCCCGCCAAGCCCTGAGGATGTCATCCAGGCCCAGCACGGAGGATCCCAGGAGGCTGGGGTGCTGCATACGCTCATAATTGAGCGCCCCAAACAGCGTCCTCACCTGAGAGGCAACATGTGTGGCCTGCAGGATGCAGGGGTGGGGGTCAGACACCAGATCTCACCCCCACGGGAGGCAGGGCAGGGTAAGAGATGCCCAACCCCCCCCCCCACGGAAGGCAGGGGAGGGAAAGAGGGGCCCGACCCCACACCCATGGGAGGCAGGACAGGGTCAGACACCCGACCCCCACTCATGCGAAGCAAGATGGGGTGAGAGACACCCTAACCCCCACCCACAAGATGCCGGACAGAGTCTAAGACACCCGACCCCACACCCACGGGAGGCAGGATGGGGTCAGACACCCGACCCCCACCCATGGGATGCAGGATGGGGTCAGAGACACCCGACCCCACTCCCACAGGAAGCAGGGCAGGGTAAGAGATGCCCGACCCCACACCCACGGGAGGCAGGATGGGGTGGGAGATGCCCAACCCCACACCACAGGAAGCAGGGCAGGGTAAGAGACACCCGACCCCCACCCACGGGAGGCAGGACGAGGTCAGACACCTGACCCAATACCATGGGATGCAGGACAGGGTCAGAGACACCCAACCCCACAGCCACGGAATGCAGGACGGGGTTGACCGACCCCCCACCACGGGATGCAGAACAGGGGCCAGAGACACCCAACCCTACGATGCAGGACAGGGTCAGACATCCGACTCCACACAGGATCCAAGACAGGTCGGAGATGCCCAACCCCCACAACCAGGTCTGACCCAGGAGCCCCAGTTTATCTTCGTATGTGACTGGCAGTGAGCTTCCCACTCAAAACAGCTCTGCTCTCACTGGGGACAGTGGTCACCCCTGGTATATCGGGTGCTCCAGCTCATGGCTGCTGCCACCAGCCCTAAGGGAAGGGACAGACGGGACACCTCAAGCCTCTTGGGGCGGGGTTTATGGGGGGCATCAGCGGTCTATGAGGGGGTCTGGGATCTATGGGTGAGTCCAGGGTTTCTACAGGGTGGGTCTGGGGCTCTGTGTGCATCTGATGTCTCTAAAGACGAGTCTGGGGTTATGAGGTGGGGCCTGGAGTCTCTACGGGGAGGATCTGGGGTCATGAGGTGGGGTCTAGCCCGTGGCTGCTACTGTTCAGGACCTGGGCTCGAAGGCCCATGACTCAAAGCAGCCTCTACCCAGTGACAGGAGGTGACCTCAGTCCCCCCCCCGCCCCCCCTCCCCCGCTGCTGTCAGGCCCTTCTGTTCTCCACCGAGGCCCGTGATGCCCACCACACTGTCGGTGCTGACAATGGGCCGCAACCCGTTGGCCTTGGGCAAGAAGCGCAGCCTGGACGTGGGCAGGGCAGGCCTGGCCGCTCGAAACTGCTGAACCTCAGCCTTTGACATCCTCCGCAGCTGAGCCCGAACCAGGTGCTGCCTGCAAGAGAGTCTAGGCTGGGGCCCCACGGCCAAGAGCGGGAGGGAGATGGCAAGGGACGGCGCGAGCAGGCAGGTACCTCATGCCGATGCTCTGCAGCTCGTTCCACACACACTTCCGGTAGAAAAAGAGCCTGTTCTTCTGGAACGTGGTCTCCGTGACGTAGAAGAAGGCTCTGAGCAGGGCCACGACGTAGGTGTCCAGCAGCCAGCCCAGCAGGCAGGCGAGGATGGCCTCCCGGCGCCGGTGCTCCGGGGCAGGGACACAGTGCGCCCCTGCGGCAGAAAAGGCGTTCACCGGCCTGCGCTGGGCCGGGGAGACCACAGCGGCCCTCTCCGTGCGCAATGCCCAGACCTCTCCCAGCTCCTGCTGCACGCGGTGTCCACTGCCCTCCCGGGGACAGGCATGCCACGCTGCGCCAGGGGCGCTTCTCACCTGGGCGGGCGCATAGCCAGGAGCAGTCCCGCACCCTCATCTTCCACATCAGCTCCTGCGCCGACAGCCGCGCGCACTTGTCCAGCGACACAAACTTCCTGACGGTGCGCAGGAAGCGGCGCTCATTGTGCCGGGACCCCCAGAGGCTGGCGGGCACCAGGCGACGCAGACAGGCGCGTAGGAGCGCGTACACCTGCCAGCGGGGGCTGTGCTGCTGCAGGAGCTGCAGGAGCGGCCGGGGAGCCGCGTCCGCGCCGGGGGCGGCGGGCACAGGGCAGTGCGCACGGAGGAGCGCGCCGTAGGGGCACCTGGCGTGGTTGGCCAGCAGCTCGCGGAACAGCGGCCGCATCCGCCTGTAGCGCGGGGGCAGGCGGTGCGGCGCGCGGGGATGCGCGCCCAGGAAAACGGTCCGCACCAGCGCGCCTGCCCCGGCCAGGGAGGGCGGCAGCGTGCCCAGTGGGAAGGTGGCGGGCAGCCGCTCCCCCGCGCCCGCGCTGTACAGGAAGCGCCGGGCCTCAGCGCGCAGCCGGGGCCGGGGGGCCTCCCGGGGGTCCGAGCGCGCCACGGGCGCTGCGCGGCCGCTGCGGGGCCTCTCAGGCGACGGCGCCCACGCCCCCGCGCCGCCCCGCCCCCAGCCCGCGCACAGATCGTAGAGCGGTGCCCCGCACACCTGGTAGGCGCAGCCCGGCGGCACCAGCAGGTAGAGCGCGCAGCGCGCCAGCAGGTAGGCGAGCACGGCGTCGCCCAGCCGGCTGAGCAGCAGCGCCCACGCGCCGCTCCCGCGCAGCGTCTCGGCCGCCGAGTTGGGCAGGAAGCTGCGCACGTTGGCGGTGAAGGCCAGCGGCGGCTCGCCGTGCGCCTCGTCCCGCAGCGCGAAGCCGAAGGCCAGAACGTTCCTCGCGCCGCGCTCGCACAGCCGCTGCAGCACCCTGGCCAGCAGCTCCTTCAGGCTGGACTCCTGCGGGAGGGCGCGGGCTGCAACTCGGGGCGCCGCGGCCGCGAACCCCCCCGTCCCCGCGCGGCCCCCGCGCCGGCTCACCTGGCGGAAGGTGGGGGCGGGCGGCGGCGGCGCGTCCCAGGGCACGCACACCAGGCAGCGTGCCACCAGCTGGCGGAAGGCCGCCGGGTCCCCGCGCCGCACCAGCCGCCGGCCCTCGGGTCCCAGGCGCCGCGCGAACGCCGCCAGCGGCAGCACTTCGCGGTAGCGGCCCCGCAGCAGAGCGCGCACGGCCCGGCACCGCATCGCGCGCATCCCGGCGGCCGGCCCGCACGTGCGCGCCCCCCACGGAGAGGCGAGGGCGGGGCCCTGCAGGCGGCGTGGCCAGTGTGTAGGGGCGGGGCCTGCGCGAGGAGCGGGCCAGGGAAGGAAGGGGCGGGGCCTTACCCGGGGAGGGCGGGCCAGCGTAATGGGCGGGACCTGCGCTGGGATAGCGAGCCAGTGCGGGAAGGAACAGGGCCTGGGCGGGGAAGGGGTTGGGCGAGGCCGGCGCGGAAGGGCGGGACCAGTGCAGGAATGGGCGGGGCTTGGAAGGGGCGGGACCAACGCGGAAGGGGCGGGACCGGCGCGGGGAGAGCGCGGCCTGTGCAGAAAAGGACGGAGCGGGCGCGGAAACGCCGGGAAGGGGCGGGGCCCGGGCGGAGAGGGCGGGGCCTGCGCGGGGAGGGCGAGGCTAATACGGGGTGGGGTGGGGCCGGCACGGACCCCCCAGGAAGGGGCGGGGCTGGGGAGGGGAGGGCGGGACCGACGCGGGAGGGGCGGGGAGAGCGCGGCCTGTGCAGGAAGGGGCGGAGCGGGCGCGGAAACGCCGGGAAGGGTCTGGGCCGGAGCGGGGAGGGCGCGGCCAGTGCAGGAAGCGGTGGGGCCGGCGCGGGAACGCCGAGAAGGGATGGGGCCGGGGCGGGGAGGGCGGGGCCAACGCAGAAGGGGCGGGAACGCAGGGAGGGGCGGGGCCTGTGCCGGGAGGGGCGGGGCCGGCGCGCTTCCTGCGCAGCCGCGGCGATCCGCAGGTCACGGGCTACCAGGCTCTGGCGCACCCGCGGCCCCGCGCCCAGGTCCAAGTGAGGGTCGCACAGCGGCGGGCGCTGAGTGCGGAGGAAGCGACTACGGCCCGACCCCCCCTGCGGGCCTCCCGGGGGCGCGGGGAGGACGGCGAGGCATGGCCGAGGGTCTCCCGCCTGGGGCTACAGTTTCTCTCTGCAGGTCCCCGGCCCGTAAACGCCCTGAACGGTCCACGAGTCCGAACCAGGACGCGCCAGCGGGAAGGGGTGCGGGCAGTGAGGGGCGGTCCCAGGAGCAGGCAGGCAGGGTGCCCTGACGCCTCCGCCTCGGCCCCGCTGCCGCCCGCGCTTTGTCTGGGCTCTGAGCAGGTGTTGCCCGCCCAGGCGCAGAGCCAGGGCCCTGCGTGGCACCACCTGGAGGCCCCGGGCTCCGACCGGTCCCGCCGTGACCGTACTCTGGCTCAGGAGAATCTGCGGAGAAAGTAGGTGTGAGTGTGGGTAGAAGCAGCAGGCGGCACGGTGTGGGCGAGGGAACCTGTGGATGCAAGCGCGCGCCCCACCGTTGCGTATATTGATGCTGCGAATCAGGGCATTCGGCCTTTGCAGAGTGGCTCATTGTGCACCGTGGAAGAAGCCCCCAGCACGCTGCATGCACGCACGGAAAAGCATTCTTGTTCCGGGGCCACTTGGCTGAACACACAAGTGCGTTCTGGGTTGTGGGCCACTCGGGTCCCTGCCAATTTCTGGTGAGTGGATTCCGCTGAGGAACTCAAGCCTCTGCTGCCCGGGTGCACACCACATGCATGTGTGCACGCGCGTGTGTGCTTGTACAGCTGAGCAGTGAAGCATGCATAGCGCCTTGGCCCCTGCTGCGGCCTGAGGTTCAGACGACATGGTGGGCTCTGCTGTCTGCATCCTGTAGGGGCGCCCTTGGCAGAGTGAGCTGCACCCCACTTCTCAGCTCTGCAGGGGAGGGAGACAGGAGGGGAAGGAAGAGCAGAGAGGGCCCCACTCTGCTCTGCCACACCCGGGTACATTTCCCTCTGGTAAGGGACCTCATGGAACAGGCAAAGTCCAGTTACCTTCCGCAGCACACCCTAGGCCCTGAGCTGATACGCGTGGGGGGAGGGGCCCTCCTGCATTATTGCCTGACCCCTATCTCCACGGGCACTGAGAGGGTCTGCCCTGAACTCCAGTCAGCCCTGTCCCTCAGGGCCTCCTCACCAGCCAGATTCGGGACTCAGCGTCCTACCGGTCACCTCCGGCTACCTGGCCATGGGCCTAGGATGGGGATGTGCAATCAGGCACACCCTCGCCACCAGGGACATGGACAGCCCATCCCCCTCAGCCTCTCGCAGCGCTCTTGGCCCAGCCTTGGCCAAAGCAGCCCACGCAGACGGCCAGAAACAGCACCTGGGAGCACAGGGGACGTGGGTCACTGAGCGCCTGCCAGACCTGCATGCACCAGGACGCGGGGGCTCCAGAACTCAGGGGCCCCTGCCCCCAGCCCACCCTGCTGCCTCTGTCCTGAAGACAGCACAGTGGGTGTGGGACAGGCTTCTCTGCCCACATGACCATGGGCTCCAGAAGATTCCGGCTGCAGGCCTTCACATGGCACACAGCAGCACGCACATGCACCCCACACATGCTCTTGTGCACTCGTATGTGCACATACACAGCCGTAGTGCACCCCTGCGGCCCCCCCCCCCACATGCAGCACTTATGCTCCTGCGACCCCTCCCACAGCCTGCACATACTCCCCCCCGGCATGCTCACACCCCGACAGCCTATACACTCATGCACTCACACTCAACATGTGTGATGCTCCCCTTGCGAGGGGTGCAGTGAGGAGGCTGGCGCAGTGCGCCTGCTGGCCTTTGCTGCGTCAGCATGTGATGCTCTGCCCCCTTTCCACAGAGCCTCTGGGTTCAGAAGACGGAGGTAGAATTAAGTTTCCAGCGAAGGGTACCCACTCTGAGGGGAGTCAATCTCCAGAGCGCAGCCTGTGAAGGGGGCGCCTTCAGGAGGATCTGGGTGCCAGGCGGGCTGCAGGCCGCTCCACAAAACAGCTTTCTTGGGGGTTGGGGGATGGCGGCTGTTCGGTGACTCCCAACAGCCAGGCACGGCAGCTGGACAGCTGGACGCTGCTTCCGAGAACAGATCCCCCTCCCAGTGCAACTCCCCAGCTCTCCAAACTAACCTGAGTTTAGGGCTCTGACCCACTGCCTCCCTCAGCCCGAAAGCTCGCCTCTGGCCACACCAAGCACAGGAGCGAGCCCAGACCCACTGACCTGACCAGTCCCCAGGACATGCTCCGCTGATCACACCCACCTTGGAACCATGTGCCTCTGACCTCGTACCTCTGGCCCAGGGCACATCTGTGCTTTCCGCACGGAGCCGTTTTCTACTTGCTCCCCAAACTGGGTTCAAGAACGCTTTGACCTTTCTCCTAGTTGCATGAGTTCGGAGCTGGAGCCAAATGTTAGAGAACACAGCGGGGAAGGCATCTGCCCCGTACACCACATGCTTCTCTGAGCCCACCAGGAGCCCTGAGCACAGAGTGAGGAGTAACCCTGAGCACTGCCAAGTGTGGCCTCCAAATAACAACAAAGAATCCAAGAGTTGCCGTGTGTGCCTGGGCCTGGTGATGGGGCCTGAGGACATGACAGGACCCGCAGTGATTGAGGGAAGGAGGGTGGCAGCGAGCAGCACCTCCGTGGCAGACATGTGACCACCACAGCCCAGGGCTGCCAGAGTCATGTGTGACCCCCTCGGCCAAGGGCTGCCACTGAGCCGGGTGACGCCCCCCATAACACAGGGCTGCCACTGAGCTACGTGACCACCCCCCAACCGCTGCCACAGAGCCACGTATGACCTTTCATAGCCAGGGCTGCCACTGGGCCACGTGCGATCCCCCCACAGCCCAGGGCTGCCCAGCTGTCACTGAGCCACCCTGCACGTGTCAGCAACGGAGCCAGTGCACTGGGTGCTGCTGGTGGGGGTCTCAGGCACCGCCCCCCCCACCAGTTTTATGCGTTCGTCCCGCCAGGCCCTTCCGTGAACTTTCTCCTGCTCTTTATCAGCCTCCTGGAAAGCAATAAAGAGTGCTTAGGGCCCAAGCGCCTGGGGAGGCGGCTCAGCCCTGCGTGTGCCTCCAGGCTCTGCATCTTCCCGTCAGATGAACTTTAAGGAGGGTGGAATTTACCCACGGAATTAACCTTCTCATCTGGAATCCCAGAGCGCAGCAGGCTGGCTCCCCAGTGCCCAAGACGACAGCGCAGGCTCAGCTCTGGTGCTCGCCGGGTCCTGCAGCCGGCTGCCCTCCCACCCCCCGTCCTGCAGCTGGCTTGGGGGTGTTCCCACGGTGTAACAGCCTCCATCACAATCAGGCCTGGCCCAAGTCCTCCTGTCACCCACCCGGAACCCACCCACTCCAGCAGCGTGCCTTATCCAGCCCCACACAGTCGCAGGGCCACCGGGTCCTGCCAGAGCCTGCACGGGCGGGGAGACACAAGCCTCCGGACCCCAGACACCGAGCCAGACCAGTGGGCAGTGCAGCGCCAAGGGGGTGCAGGGACACCTCTCCACCACAGCCTCCGTTCCAAGCCCAGCCCATGTGCCACAAGCACGAACAGCCGTATGGCCGCTCACCCCCGTTGCTCCTGTGGACACTCCTGCCCCCTGGCCGTAAGAAACTGGCTGCCTCCCCACCCGCACACACGAGGACGCTCCAGCCCTGCTCCTCCCAGCGGCAGGCGTGAACCACATGGCGCTCACTGCCCAGAGTCCATGGCACCCAGGCTGAGCAGGCGACCAGCCCAGAGGTTTATTTTAAAATAGAAACGTACATACGTTAAGCTTGAAAACAATCTTATTTTAAACTAAAAGGAAACAGCCGTTTGACCGAGTCCCCGGGATGGACGTGGAGGCGTCTGAGGCGGGAGGGTCCAGGGGAGCGGTGCCCGCGGCGCCTGGCCTGGCCGCAGCGGGCCCTCCAACCGGTGGCCTCAAAGACAGCGAGAAGTGGTCGGAGGTTTTGGCAATGCAGACGGGACGCCCGGGAAACCTGCCCGAGCGTGCGGAAAGGCCCTGCTGTCCAGCCCCGGCTCCGCTCAGTCCCCATGAGGCTTCTGCTGGGGCTTCTCGGCGTAGGATTCCCCGAACTCATTCACTCTGCTCTTATCCACGGGATAAAGCCTGAGAGGCAGAGCGCAGCCTCACTGCCTGCCTCGGGCGTGCCCAGCCCGAGACGCTGTCCCCCCCTCCACACCCCCTGATCAGGGCTCACCAGCGCTGGTAGAGGTACACGAGGAACACCACATCGTCCCTGAAGCAGGCCAGCCGGTGCGAGGTGGGCATGGTGATGATGAAGGCGAAGACGTCGTCGATGAAGGTGTTGAAGGCCTGGGGGGGAGGGGGGCGTGGTCACCTCAGTATCCCTCAACCCAAGGCGCCTGCCCACCCCCACAGCCTTCGGGGCAGCGGTCAGATGGGAAGGGGATCCTCCCCAGCACCCCATGAGCCCTGCCCACCAGACCGTCCTGCCCCACACCCGGCACCTCCAATCCCCACTGAGGCCACGATATGTGTGAGCACTGAGGGGGACAGGGCACCCCCAAGGCCAAACCCCCACAGACACTGATGCCCAGGATCAAGATGGCCACCGTCCCTGCCACAGCAAGCCTGGAACTGGGGGCAACGCTTGTCCCTCGATGGCCACAGTATGGGCAGGTGGGGCTCTGGGCACTGACCTTGTAGGTAAAAGCTTTCCAGGGCAGGTGTGCCACCGACTTCATCTGCAATGGAGATGGAGCCGGTGAGGGGACAGTGCCCGCCCACCCGTCCACCACCGCCATGGGCAGCACCTCACCTTGTAGTTGACGAAGAGCTGCGGCAGCATGAAGAGGAAGCCGAACGCGTAGACCCCTGAGGACACAGGAGATGAGTGGAGGCCCCGACCCTGCCTGGGCCCAGCGGGCTGGCACACGGGGTCAAGGAGGCCGCACTGCACGGTCATGCTGACCCCCCAGCTGAGCTGCCCACCCAGCAGGCCGTCCAGCGCCTCTCCCGGGACACAGGCCAGACGTGCTTCCTGTGGGCACCCGGAGGGAGAAGCAGCTGAGCTGCAGCCCAGGACGCGACTCACCATTGACGAAGCTGTTGATGAGCCATGAGTACCAGCTGCGGGAGAGAAGCACGTGAGCCGGCGCTGCCGCGTCCCGACATGGCTCAGGCTTAGCAGCGCCCTGTGCCAGGCTGCCCGGCCACCTCTCCTTGGGGGCCTGGGAAGCAGAGCCGAGCACCCACCTCTTGTACTTGACGTTGAGCAGCGAGTAGCCGGCGCCCGCGATGCACAGAGGGTAGAGCAGGTAGGACAGGTACTTCATGGCCTAAGGGGAAGCCGAGGGACAGGCCCTGCTCAGCCCAGCGGGCCTGGCAGGGCACTGCAGGGGACACCCAGGGGCTGTGCCCGCAACACGGGCACCCCAGGCCAGCGCCCAGAAACCCCCAGGAGCCCCGGAACCGGGCAGGCAGCTCCCCCTCCTCCGCCCAGGGACCCCCACCCCAAGGCGACTCACCTGAGTGTCATACTCCTCCGTCCGCCGCTCGGACTCACTGGACGTGCCAAACTGTGGAAGATACAGCGCAGGCCCCTCACTGGCCACGCCCCTGCCGTTGGCCACGCCCCTCACTGGGCCACGCTGCAGGGAGCTGTGACAGCGTCCCAGTGCTGCCCTGCACTGCCCACTCAGCTGATGCCGACACTAACTTTCTCTCGGGCAGCCCTGCTGGTGGCAGAGATGAGCCACTGAAAGCCGGAGGCTCTGAGCACAGCTGCATCCCAGTCCCAAGTTTACTCGCAATGGGAAACTGAAGCGAGGGTCTCAGGGGAGCCGTCCCAGACACCCCCATGCCAGCCTTCGACCCCAGCCTGAGCTTCTCCAGCCCCTACCAGCCCCACAGGGACACCTGCTGAGGCGGGGCCTACAGTCTGCGGTGGGAGTGAGTGCGTGTGGAGAAGTGGGTGTGGATCAAGGTGTGTGGAAGGAGCATTTTTGCGTGTAGGTAAGGGTGTGTGGGTGGGTATACACGTGGCAGGAGCAGGTTTATGTCTGTGTGTAGATTTTGTGGATATGTGGAGAAAGTGTGTGTGGTGGGGATGTGTGCAGTCTTGCCCCGTGGGCCCAGGGTGCCACAGTCCCTGTCCTCACGGCGGGTTCGGCCGCAGCCAGGGATGTACCTGGAACTGGGGCCTTAGGCCCCTCCATGCCACTGTCATCTTCAAGGCCTTCTTCACCTTCCACAGCTGTTGGTGGGGAGGGTGGGGAGGAACACATTTAAGAGCTGTCACACAGACCCCAGGGTACTTGGCCACCAGAGGCCCAAGGGGGTGGGGGGTGGAAAGCTGGCACCACCTGCTGGGGTCTCCCAAACCCCCCCACCCCCAATGACAGGCACAGTTCAGACAGCCACAGGGAGGCAGGAGACAGCTGCCTGGTCACAGGGCAGCTCCGGACGCACCTCGATGGCAGCGCCGATGCCCGCGGGGACCAGCACCAGCAGGCTCGTCTGCTCATCCAGCAGGAACAGGAAGATGACCACGGTGCTGAAGCAGCGCCAGAGCACTGGGGGGCAGGCATGAGTGAGGGTGCGGGGGTCACCGGGGGCCTCCCCCCACCCCCCCCCACCTGGCACAGGGGATGGGAGTGGGCGTGAGGCACCGTCATGACATGGGGCCCCCCGCCCACCCCACCAGCCCAGGCAGTACCTGCCTTCGTGGACATCCCAATCATGCTCTTCTTCTTCTTCCAGAAGCTGATGTCATTCTTAAACGCCAGGAAGTCAAAGAGCAGCTGCAAACAGAAAACAACGTGGAAGCTGCCACGAGAGCCAGGTGCTGGCTCAGACACGGCAGCCACGGCCACAGGGCCCACAGACACAGAGACTGTAGCACAGGCTGGGCACACAGTGAGGGTCAGGCCTCCTCCCGAGGACTCAGCCCGGGCGAACTGACAACACTCACGTGAAACGCAGCAACAAAGAAGGTCAGGGCCAGGAAGTAGAGGTTGGTGTCCACAAAGATGCCCTTCACCTCGTCCGCATCCTTCTCCGAGAAGCCTGGGCAGAGAGAGGCGGCTTGGAGGCGTGGGGGGCGTGCCTGAGGGCGGGCGAAGGGGCAGTCCCGGTGCCACCGACTCACCGAGCTGCTGCAGCGAGTACACGGCATCCTGCATATGGATCCAGAAGCGCAGGCGGCCCAGTGAGATGCTGTCGTAGGCCACGGTCAGTGGCAGCTCGGTGCTCGAGTGGTGGATGACCTACGGGCAGTGGATCCCCTCATGTGGACATGCCACGCTCATGGTGCCCAGCATGGCCACGCGAGGAGCCACACACGGGCCACAGGAGCAGGTGGCTGTGGGAGCAGATGCATCCCACAGGAGGCGACAGGCGGGGAGGGGGACTCCGGCCACAGGGCCCTGGACCCTGCTGGCCAGCGACCCCACCCCAAGAATCCTGCTCGTCTCCACGGGCCACTCTTAGAGAGAGCAGCTGTGCAGGAGGACGTGGCCACCACCAAAGCCGGGTCCATGGCCCAGCCCTGTGAAGGAGGGGCTGGCACATGAAGGGGCAGACAGCTGCAGGTGGGCGTCAGAGCCCAGGCCCCATGCCCAAGGGCCAGCCCTACACCCTGAGCCAGGAGGGCCAGAACCCCAGGAGGACCAGCCTAGGTGGTGCCTGGCTCGTAGTCACAGGGACACGAAGGGCGAGCCCTGCCCAGGAGCCCCTGGCCCCGGCCGCTCACCATGAGGTCCTTCACCCGGTTGCTGAGCTGGTCGATGAACAGGATTGGGAGGTAATGCACCGTCTTCCCCAGTTGCACCCTGCACACACAGAAAGGACCCGGCGGGCTGGGAACCAGGACCCACTGAGCCCTGGGTAAGCCCCAGGGTGGTGCAGGCCCCTGAGCACTGCCTGGGGAGAGCTGCCTACAGAGCACAGGCTGCCCCACCCCCGCCCCTAGCAGTCAATCCAGCCAAGCAGGGCGCCAAGGCGGCCTTCCCAGAGTCCCATCCTGCCCAGGGTTGAGGACCCTCCCGGCCCGCGGGGCACACCCACATCTTCATGTAGCGGTGCACGTCGGCGGGCAGGGCTGCGCCATCGAAGGCGAAGTCGTCCACCATGACGTTGAGCGTCAGCCTGGGCCTCCAGTGTGACACGGGCTCGTCCAGAGCGCTGGGCGGCTTCTTCCCGGCCTCGATCTGCTGCTGGGGGCAGGCAGCTCAGCAGGGCGAGGTGGGGGGGCAGAGGGGTGAGGCCACCTCCCAGGACCCCAAAGCCACTCGGCAGCTCGTCGCCGGCCAGCCCCAAATACGCTGCAGGGCACACAGCCACGGAAGCGAGGGGCGTCCATGGATGCCCACGAGGACAGGCTGGGCCTGAGCCACTCCCCAGCTCAGACACCCACTGGGGCGGCACCTGTGTGGGGTGGATTCCCCGCCCCCACACACACACAGCAGCATCAACCCCACAGTAAGGCGCTCAGGGGCTGGTACTCCCTGACACGCCCCCACGTGGCCTCCCGCACCCAGAGCCCACCGCGGCGGGCCCAGGATTCCACGGCTGCACCCCACGTGAAGCTCTCACCTCTGTGGCAGGCCCGCCTGTGAGCAGGCTCACCTCCTCGGGCTTGGGGACCATGTAAGTGGTGAGCGGGCTGACCAGGTGCACCTGCTTGCCGTCGTGCCACGGCAGGACGCCTGCGTGGTGCAGGAAGATGTAGGCGTACAGCGTGCCATTGTCCCGCGTCTTCTTGGGCACGGACACGTTGACGGTCCTGAGACAGAGCCCGGCAGGCCTCAGCCACGGCACAAGAGCACCAAAGCACCGAGACCCGGCCCAGCGCAGTGCTCAGGAGGAAGTGGCTGGCCCTCGGGGGTCTCTCCCCCTCCCCCCGCTTCAGACAACAGCAGATCGGTAACCGCACACTGCAGATCCCCAACCACTTGCCCTGCAAGCCCCCAGCCCGGGGCCTGAGCTGCAACCAGGCAGACGCAGGACACACTCTCAGGGCCGGGGACAGCTGGGCCTCCCACCCACAGGGACCTGGCTTGCCCCGGGCCCCCCCAGACAGGCCCCCGCGCCCCAGCCACCGCGCAGGGCCCCTCTGCTGCACCCAGGGCCGCCCGCCCCCGGCTGCGGCTCCGCTCACCTCTCGAACTTGGACGCCACGTCGAAGTCCTCCACGTTCAGAACCAGGTCCACGTTGTTCTCCGTGCCCAGGTGGGAGCGGGTGGTGGTGTAGACGCTGAGCTGGTGTGGACGGGGCGGGCAGTGAGCGCGGGCCGGGCGGGGGCGGGGGGCGGGCGCGCCGGGGGCTCACCTGCAGCTTGGGCCGGCGCGCCAGGTAGGGCAGGATGCAGTTGGCGGGCGCGGCGCACGGGCGCGTGTACACGATGCCGTACATGACCCAGCAGGTGTGCGCCACGTACACCACGAACACGCCCACCGCCAGGCTGGTGAAGGAGCTGCGGCCGCTCCACATGGCGCCGCCGACACTCGACGCCGCGCTACGGCGCCCACCGCCGCGGGGGAACGACCGCGCCGCGCGCCGCCCGCCGCCCGCCGCCCCGCATGCTCGCCGCGCGCCTCCACCTGTCGCCGCGGGATTCGCCGGTCGCGACGCTTCCGGCCCGCACCGGAAGTGGGCGCGCCGCGCGGCCCCCTGGGAGGCGTGGTCGCGGCGCGCGCGTCGGCACGCACGGGCACGTCGGGCCGGTGACCTCCCTCCCGGCGTGCCCTGCGGCTCGGCGGTGGCGGCGGCGGAGGGGGCGGGGCCTCCGGGCCCGGGCCGGATTGGGCGGGGCCAGAGTGAACGGAGGCAGGGCCAGGGGTAGGCGGGGCCTCGGCGGGGCGGGGCGGGGCCTCCGAGCAGCGGAGGGCGGGCCCGGAGCTGCTGGTCCCGGGAGGCGGTGGAAACGCTTTGCTCGCTCCCGGGCGGGCGGCGGCAGGTGCAGCTGCAGGTGTTCCGCTGGGACGTGCCCGGACGCCAAGGCCGTGCTGGACGCGGGCGCGTCCCCTGGCCCCACGGGAGGACCTGGGGCCTCTGGCCCTGCAGCCCCCTGCCCCGCACACCCAGGGCCCCCTCTGCGACCTCACTGACCGCTCTCCTGAGGCCTTGACATGGGCACCAGGTCCTCAAAGCCCTCCCCAGCCCGCTGCGTGTTGAAGGGTGATGGCACTGCCCAGGGTAGGGGTCAGGGGGAGGAGGGCAGCACCAAGGCAGAGCGGACTCCCCAAGTCACTTGAGGATCACCCTGGCCCTGACCTGGAAGGCCTGACTGACTTCTCTGGAGCCACAGGGTGCTGACTGCATGGCTGAAGCACCCCAGCAGGGAGCCGCCCCACCCAGCAACTGGAGTGACCCCATCCCCAGGCCTGGAGACCCCACAGTGGCGCCCTCAGAGCCAGCTCCAGGGACAGCTTCAAGCCCGGGAGTATCTACCACACCAGGGGCACCGTCCAGGCCCCATTTTGCAGCTCAGACAGAGGTGGGCGCAAAACCACAGCCCCCATTTCCCACCAGCTGCCTTCCTCACCAATAGCAACCCCCCATTGCTCCCCCCCTCATAGGCTGCCCTCCCCCATCAGCTGGTCCTGCAGCACCAGAGCACACAGCCTGGACAGGACGCAGCTGGGGCGGGTGCAGCTGCTGGGGGCTGGTCTGGTAAGCAGCCCACACTGGATGCTTTCACGTGTCTGCTACCTCTCTTCTGGGTACTCCAAGTGGGCTGCCAAGCTGTCCGGCCTGGCCCGAGCCTCTGGTTCTATATATGGGGGACCGAGTGCCCCACCTTACTTCCCCAGCAAGCCTGAAGGCCGGAGGTCCCCCACCCCCCCCCCCAGGAGAGTAGGTATGAGCGGCTGTGCCATGCCTGCTCACACTAACTGGTAACTGACCCCATGCAGCAAGGGCTGGCCTGTGACCCAGTGGCCCTGTTTCGGCCCAGTTACTCCCGAAGTGACACCCATTGGGCCACGTGGGTTCGAAGGTCAGCCTGCCCATCACTGAGCGCCGTCCCCCTGGGCTGGAGGAGGGAGCACGAACCGCCCCTGACAGAGACACCTCAGTTTCCCCTCGCCGGCTGCTGTGTGCAACTCCACATTAGCTGTTTTTATTCCACATTCTCCACAACCCCGCAAATTCCTGGGCTCTTCTGAGAATGGGGAAGTTTGCAATTTCCCCAGCTATAAACCCTTTCCAGACCTCATCTTAGCAAGCAAATGGACCCTAAATTAATAAAGACAGCTGTGGCAGGCAAGTGGGATCCTCTGACTGTTGTTAATAGACACCAGTTTTCCTCTAAACACCACAGAAACGAACGCTCCTTATTCCTCCATCAAGTTCCTTGCCTGCTGGGAGTTTCTCATTTTTCAGCGAACACATCTGTCTTTCGACGACACTGAGTGTCAGCATCTGTATTACTCAGTGTTTTTGATGGTGAAAGTCATGAAGACTTAGGAATCAGACAGTCACAGGGGCCCGCCCACACCACACCTGCCCCACCTCCGCCCTTCCTTCTGCAGTGCAGGTCCTCTCTGCCCACAATCCCATGCTCCTGAACACCCCCTCCCCACAGCGTGTGTCCACAGAGGCCTTACTCCAGCACCCCGCTGCCCCGTGGTTTGGACGCTCTTGGCTTCTGCTGAAAATGCAGTTTCTTGGCACAGGATTTGTGGTGCATGACCCTCGCTGCTCTGCATGTGCCTTGGCTCCATAGGTCCTGCCCTGCACCCACCCACTGCTTTCTAAGCTGGGCACAGTGGTACCCTTTGGGGGAAATCAAGGCACAGCCTCTGGCAGGCTTGCACAGGAAGGTCCCCAGGGCTGTCAGGTGCAGCTGACTCCCCACCCTCCAGCACCCCCAGGGATGGTCAACCGCAGGAAGTGGCACAGGAAACCGCTTCGAGAACCAGCCTCGGCTCCCTATTCAGGCAGGTGCCTAGGCGCCATCCTCCCATTCAACCCAGTTTGTTATTTATTCATTCATTTGCTTGTTTGTTTGTTTTGTGAAGCAAGATTGTTCTTATTGAAACTTACTTAGAAAGTGTGAGATGAGGGATTGATCTCTACAGGCCCCTCACACTGAGTGAATCTTCTGAAAAACTCAGGTATGTAGGGTTTTTTGGTTGTTGTTTTTTTTTTGGTTTTTTTTTTTTTTTTTTTTTTTTTTTGCTTTTTGGGTCACATTCAGCCGATGCTCAGGGGGTTACTCCTGGCTCTGCACTCAGGAATCACTCCTGGCGGTGCTTGGGGGACGATATGGGTTGCTGGGAATCGAACCCAGGTTGTCCACGCACAAGGCAAACGCCCTACCCGCTGTGCTATTGCTTCAGCCCCTGTATGTGGGTTTTTGTGACTGAAATCTCCAGGCTTTCATGGAGTCAGGAATGGGCGCCCCACCCCCACCTCCCTGTGCCTCCAGGAGCCCGGCAGTCAACGCCCACCAGCTGCCTCTGGCACTATGTATGCTCATTAAGGCCATGATCCAGAGACCCACAAATAAATCTAGGAAGAGAGCAAAAAACCGCAGAGATGCCTCTGGCCCCAAAGTCGCCATCCAGTTAAAAACTTAACTCCAGTTGTATCAATCTATCGAAGATTTTAGGATTCCTGGAGTGACATCTCATTCACTATAACCACTGATGTACCAGAAGTAGCACAGTAGCACACTACATTGGATGGATGGGATGTAAGGTAGAAGGCAACTGGTCTCAATTATATGTGTGTGTGTGTGTGTGTGTGTGTGTGTGTGTGTGTGTGTGCGCGCACAAGACTCAACCTGTAATAGCATGGTAGTAAAATCTCTTATACAAGGGCCTAATGACTCCAGGCTTAGGGAAACTTTTTTTGATCATTTTTAGCGGATTATTCATAACAAGCAATACAAAATAAATCATTCAGGGCCTGCTGTTGGGATAGGTTTGAGTGGTGGTTGGGAAACTTCTAAATATTGGTGATGATGAAATCCTGCAATTTGCTGCAACATGAATGAAACTTAGAGATGCCATGTCAAATGAAGTGAATCAGAAGAAGGACAAACACAGGATAATATCACTTATATTAATTAGATGAAGAAATGCGAGAGTTTAAAGTGGGGATGACTAGATATCCCTTGGTCCCAGAGTATATGGAAGAAAAGGAAAGAAATAGAGTGAAATGGAAGGAGACAAGAGATAGATGAGAAACAACGGAAACAGGGGCCAAGGGGATTCAGGTACATTGGTGGTATTAAGGAATGATAGAACTAAATATCCAAACCACAGAGTCAACAGCACTGAAATCATGAGACCCAAACTTTAATAACCAGATATAAAAGATTCCTGTCAAGATGACAGGCTGGGGGCTGGGGTGGCAGGTAGGAGATGGAACTTGGGAACACTGGTGGAGGTAAGTTGACATTCGTGGCACAATCAGTGATGGAACATTGTATGTCAGGACACAACTTTGTAATTCACCATGTTTTAATAAAATAAAATTTGGAGAGAAAACCACTGTATTCACACAAAATATTTATTCAGAAAATACTGGGTGACTGTCAGGAATGTAATCGTAAATATGAAAACCATCTCTCTTAAATCTATTAGAGGAAAAAGATGCATAGTGAGAGAAAGAAATAATGAGATAGAGTATAAATATGATCTAGACAAGGGTCAAGAGAAGCAAACTGAGTAGCGTTTTGTTTTTTTGGGGGGGAGGGGGGAGGGGGTCACACCAGTGTTGTTCGAGGGTTCTTCCTGGCTCTTCACTCAGGAATTCCTCCTGGCAGTGCTTGGGGAACCAGACGGGATGCCAGGGATCAAACTCAGGTCGGCCGCATGCAAGGCAAAAGCCCTACCCACTGTACTGTGGCTCCGGCCCCTGATTAGTGTTTTATTTATTTATTTATTTAATATGCCAAACACAGTAGCGAGTCTCACAATGTTACTGGGCCCACTCGAGCAAAATTGATGAACAACGGGAGAACAGTGATTAGTGAAACACCATGAGGTTATAGACTTACAAATTTTTGTGCTTGGGTTTCAGTTATACAATGATCGAGTACCCATCCCTCCACCAGTGCCCATTCTCCACCACCAATGATCCCAGTATCCCTCCCACCCCCACATCCCCCCATCCCACCTTGCCTCTGTGGCAGGGCATTCCCTTTTGTTCTCTCTTTCTCCTATTGGATCCTCTGGTTTGCAAAAGAGGCATTGAGTGGCAATCATGTTCGGTCTATAGTCTACTTTCAGCATGCATCTCCCATCCTGGGAGGATCCTCCCAACACGCTTTATTTGGTGCTCCCTTCTCTATCTGAGCTGCCTTTTCCCCTAGCATGTGTGTCTGGCCTCCAAGCCATGGAATAAACCTCCTGGTACTTATCTTGGCTATTCTTGGGTGTGAGTCTCCTATTTTGTTACTTTATGTTCCCCAGATGAATGCAATCTTTCTATGTCTATCCCTCTCTTTCTGACTCATTTCGCTTAGCATGATACTTTCCATGAAGTACCACTTGCATGTAAATTTCACGACTTCATCTTTTCTAACAGCTACACAGTATTCCATTGTGTAGATGTACCAAAGTTTCTTTAACCAGTCATCTGTTCTTGGGCACTAAGGTTTTTTCCAGACTCTGGCTATTGTAAACAGTGCTGCAATGAACAAACAAGTGCAGATGTCACTTAGACTATACTTTTTTGCCTCTCTGGGATATACTGATTAGTGTTTTAAATGATGACATAAGAATTGTCTGAAAGATGGTCTGAGCAGCTGTAAAACAACTCTAAGAAGAGCTCAAAACAGCATTGTTTTGGCAAGGTCTAAAGGGAGAGCATAGGGGCTGGAGCAATAGCACAGCGGGTAGGGCGTTTGCCTTGCACGCAGCCAACATGACCGACACAGGTTCAATTCCCAGCACCCCATATGGTCCCCTGAGCACCGCCAGGGGCAATTCCTGAGTGCATGAGCCAGGAGTAACCCCTGAGCATCGCCGGGTGTGACCCAAAAAGCAAAAAATAAAAAAATTAAAAAAAATAAAGGGAGAGCATAGTTTTCAAGAAGAGCTTCATATTTTCCTTCTTCGATGATGGGCTGGAGTGATAGCACAGCGGGTAGGGCATTTGCCTTGCACACCACCGACCCGGCCGACCTGGGTTCAATTCCTCCGCCCCCCTCGGAGAGCCTGGCAAGCTACTGAGAGTATCTCACCCACACGGCAAAGCCTGGCAAGCTCCCCGTGACATATTCAATATGCCAAAAACAGTAACAACAAATCTCACAATGGAGATGTTACTGGGCCCCCTGGAGCAAATCGATGAACAACGAGAGGAAAGTGACAGTGACAGTGATTGGTGGTGGGAAGGTGTAATGGTGATGGGATTGGTGTTGTAATATTGAATGTCCTCCCGTTATTCATCGATTTACTCGAATGGGCCCAGTAACGAATCCATTTTGAGACTTGTTGTTACTGTGTTTGGCATATTGAATACGTCATGGGTAGCTTGCCAGGCTTTGCTGTGAGGGAGAGATACTCTCGGTAGCTTGCCGGGATCTCTGAGAGGGGTGGAGGAATCGAACCCGGCTCGACCGGGCTGGCTGTGCACAAGGCAAACGCCCTACTGCTGTGCTATCGCTCCAGCCCAATATTGAATGTAATAAATTATTATGAGCAACTTTATAAAAATAAAGTAAAAATTTAGTTTTAAAAAAAAGTGTGAGAGAAAGGGAGAATAGGGGCTTTCCAGAGTGGACCAGCTCTGTATTTGAGGAGAAGGTGGGCTCCAGTGGGCTCTCCGAGGGAAACTGTCTGCCACATGGGCGGGGGGGAGAGTTGGAATGAGGGGGGGTGGGAGGGGGGTAGGTAGTATTGGGGGTTTTGGTGGTGGAAAATTGCACTGGTGAAGGGATGGGTGTTTGGTGATTGTGTGACCGAAGGAAGCTCAAACATGAAAGCTTTGTAACTGTATCTCACGATGAATCGATAGAAGGGGGAAAGAATAATAATAAAATAATAAAATAAATAAACAGCGGGCTCTCCGAGGGTCATTTCACGGTGTCCCAGGGCAGTTGAGGTGTTCAGGGGACTTCTCTGGTGAAGAGTCTGGAGAGCAAGTGCAGCCATGGGTGGGCTTCGTGGACATGGGCAGGCGCGGAGTGGGCTCCCCTGTTCACCCAGTCAGGAACAGGTGTGGGTCGGCATGGACAGTCTGACCAGCCAGAGGGCCCACGCAGCCACAGATGAGTTTAAGAGGAATTTAGCTCCCGGAATAAGAGCAATTATGTAAATTCTAGATAAATAGTGGCCCTGGCTTTAAAGTTCAGTTACGTAAATGGCGTTTGCATTTAGCTGGGAGAAAGAGCCCCTGGGCACACAGGGCTGTGCTGGGGGGGCCGAATCTACGTGGGCCCCACCAGCCCTGGATGCCTCACTGTCCCTAGTCAGGTAGTGGAAGGGTCCTGGTGTGGGGGGGCAGCTGGCCTCCAAGACCCCCTGAGGGGCCCACATGCAACTGTCCACCTAGTCTCCTGCCTCTCACCTGCTCCACAGCCTTCCACAGTGAGGCAGGGGTGCTGGGCGTGCACCCACAGCATTAGGGCCCTGCTCGGGAGGGGCCCAGGGAAGGGAGCATGGGGAAGGGAGCGAGGACCCAGGCAGGGGAGCCCCTGAGGCTCCCCCTGGCTGGGCTCTGGGTCCAGGCAGGATTGGGCTCTGCCCTTCTCCTGGGTGTGGGGTGTGCACTGCCTCCATATGACCCCCATTTCCCACACTGTCTCCCTTCCCTCCATTCCCAGAGACATCACGTCCCTTGTGATGGCAGCTGTGACCCCAGTGACCCCAGACGACATGGCACCATTCAAGACAACAGCACTGTCCAGAGGCGGTCACCTGCCCGAGAGAGCAGTGCCTGCTCTTCCCTGGGCTCACTCCTCACATCTGGTTCCCCTGCCCACTGTCCACTCCCACGTCTGTTCTGCCTGTCCTCTCATCTGTCCCCATGACCGTGTGTCCTGCTCACATCAGTGTTCCTGTTTGCTGACCCATCTCACGGAACAGAAGCGCTGTTTTACTGACTCTGCCATGTTCAGTTTAGGAGGGAGAATGAGCCACACCCGGCGATGCTGAGGCCACTCCTGGCTCAGCACTCAGGAATCCCTCTTGGTGGTGCTCAGGGACCCTCTGGGATGCTGAGGATTGGACCCGGGTTGGCAGTGTGCAAGGCAAACGCCCTCCCTGATGTGCCATTGCTCTGCCATGTCGAACGAGAGGCCCCTCCCCGCCCCATGGCCTGCCCTGAGTGTGTTCCTCCACATCTGTGGACAGGCAGTGGGGTCAGCCCAGCTGGCGGGGTCACCCGGACAGGAGTGCCACAGCTCGCAGAGGGGCACATCTGCAACGCAAGAGGCTTCTTTTAGCTTCTTTTGGGGCCACACACACTGGTGCTCAGGCCAACTCCGGCTCTGCTTCAGGGATCACTCCTGGCGGGCTCATGGACCATATGAGGTGCCACGGCTGTTGGTGTATGGCTCCAGCCCTGCAGTGACAGATTTCAGATTACGACAGGACCAAGAACTCCTTCAAGATGAAACAAGTTGGCGGTGTTTCTGGATGCAAGATTTGGGGACATTTCTCTGGCAAATGGTTGTGAGTGGAAAATCTTTGAGCTACCTGAGCTAAACTCAATGCGGGGGGTGGGGGTGGCCGAGATCCTGGGAAGTGGGGGTCTTCCCACCTGGGGGCTGGTCAGTGCCCCCGGCTCCTGGGGAGGACAGGCAGCAACCCTGGTGGGTGCAGGGCTGGGAGGAGGGGATTGAAGCAGAGAAAAGGTCCCCACGCGCAGGGGCATTTGCTCTCCAGATCCAGGCCGGCTCTGCACTTTATTAAAATGCTTCTCTCCAAGAGGAAGCCGTGTGCACCCAGCCCGTGCCTCAGTGCGTAAAGGTCAGGGGCTGCGTGGCTCTGGGGAACGGAGGGTGGATAGGGACCCCCCCAGTTGAGTAAAGGGGCAGTGGGGTGCCAGGCAGCAGGCCTGGAGTCTGGGGGAGGGGAGGGTGCGAGGAAAACCAGGCAGATTGCCTTTGCTCCCGGGGCCCAGCCTTCCCGGCTTCCTCTCCTTGCTACCTCCTCTTTCCCTCCCGTCAAAGCAGCTGAGCAGAACCGGGCCAGTGGGGTGCATGCATGGACTGTCCACCCAGGGCCAGCACGGGAGCTGCACTGGACCCTGGCCCTGTTCTCTGAGCCCAGAAGGCCAAAGTCTGGGCGCCTCCAGCTCCAGAATGCTGGACGGCTGCCTTGGCCCAAGCTCACCTGCCTGGCTTCCTCGTGACCGTGTGTTTGCTGGGTCACCCTGGGAGTTATCCTCCCTGTCCTCACTGACCTGTGAGTGCAGCCCCCACCCCAGCACGACCTGAGCGACGGAGATAGGGACAGATGATGGGGTCAGGGACAGGAACACACATGCTGGCCAGGACAAGGCTGCACAGACTGTGAGGGTCAAATCGCCCCACCCTCTCCCCACTCCTCCTGCACCATTAAATCCCCCTGCCCGGCCCTGCCTCACACCCTGGGGCTGGGTGGGTGGGTGCTGTCCCCATAGCCAGGGGCACACGTTGCTGGGGTGGTCCCTGAGTCTTGAGATGAAGCGCAAGCCGGGAGCCCGGACCCTTGGCCCAGACATTCCCCAGCAGAGGCCCAGAAACGGGAAGGTGGGCAGGGAGCGGTGCGGGGGTGGGCGGGGATCGGGCACTCGGGGGTCTGCCCTCCTGCGAGGGTGCCTTCTGGGGACGTCCAGGCCAAAGGAGCTGGCCCAGCGCACCCTGGCCCTGCCGTTCCTTCCAGTCAGGGGGTGGGGTGGGGGGAATAGATACAGCAGGTGTTTGGGCGTGGCGATGACGGGGGTGTGGCAGAGTGGGCGTGGTCAGCCGGCCCAGGGTAGGCGTGGCGATGCATGAGGTGGGCGTGGCCAGCGGGCTGGTGGTGAGCCGGAGTGGGCGTGGCGACGACAAGGTGTGGTAGAGAATGGGCGTGGCCAGTGGCCTGGCTTGCCCAGGGTGGGCGTGGCAACGACGGGCGTGGTCCATGGGTGGGCGTGGCCTGACAGGGTATGGCAGAGAATGGGTGTGGCAGTGCCAAGGCTGGCAGCAAGACAGGCGGAGCCGGCAATTCCCAGGGGGTCTTTATTGTCGGGAGGCCTGCACAGAGTGACTATGGGGGACGACACAGGGAAGACACAGGCTGGGCATGCAGCACGGCTCCCGGGAGGGGGGCGCCGCGCCCACTGCAGCCCTTGCACAGGACGGCCTCCTGGCCAGCCCCCCGTTCCCACCCAGCCCTGCGCAGGGACTGCGGGGCTCAGGGTCGGCAGGACGTCCCTCCCGCGCTGTGGTGAGGTGTGACCCAGGGCTGTAGCCCCCCGAGGCCGCCCACGGCCCCCAGAAGCTCTGCAGCTGAGGGTGCACGGGGGTCTGTGCCTGCAGCGCCAGAGACGGGGCTGATGAGGGAACAGGGCCAGCTCCCCATCCAGTGTTCTTCTCAGAGACGAGGAGGAGCCGGTGGGGTGCTCGGAGTGTCCGCCCTGAGGGCAGGTGGGTGCCGGGCCCCTCCACCTGCCCTGGACACACACCCAAGCACTGCAGACCCAGCTACGCAGTGGGGCTTCTGGTGACAGCAGCTCCCTGATGGGGCCTGTGCTTGGGGGACGGCAGCTGTGGGAAGGTGCCACAGAGGTAGGACAGGGGACAGAAGAGGACGCAGACAGATGAGGACTCTCCTGCAGCGTGTGCCGCGTGGGGCCTCGTCCCGGGAAGTGAGTCTGGCTGGTCACCTCCAGCGAGCTGAGCCTCGGCTGTACTCACACCACCAGCCAGTGACGGAGCTGCAGGAGAGCAGAGGATCACAAAGGGGAGGGCCTGCCCCAGCTGCTCGGCCCTGCGGGGGTGGGCAGGGCAGCCCACTCAGCTGCTCCCAAGGCCATGGACAGCCAGTCCCGCCCTATGTATCCTCTGCCTCTGCACTTGCCCCAGCAGAGTGGGGGAGGAAGAGAGAGGAAGGGAAGGGAGAAGAGGAGAGGGGAGGGAGGACAGAGGAAGGGGAGGGCAGAATAGGAGGGAAGGAGGAGAGGAGTGGGGCGGGCAGGCTGGCCCAGAGGAGGGCAGGAAGCAGCTTCCTGCACTGTTGTGGGGAAGGGGGTTGACCCTGATGTCTCAGCCCTCTCCTGTCACCCAGGGACTGGACTGCACTGCACGGGGGCCTGGCTGTCCAGTGGCAAGCACAGGAGGGACAGGGACACTGCGGGATGGGGAGGAGCTTGGGGCCAGCACCCCCCTTTACCCACTGGACACAGGTGCAAAAGGAACCGGCTGCCCCAGCCCCACGGCTGGTCCTTGTGCTGCAGTGGAGCTGGGGCAGGCAGAAGGGTCTCGCTGCAGGGTGGGTCACCCCTCCACACAGCATCCCTCCCAGCCTAGCGGCAGTTCCAGGCAGGCTTGAGTGAGCATGGCAGTGCATCTGCTCTGGGCACAGGAGCACTGCCCACTGTAGCAAGCAGGAGCCCGAGCAGCATGGCCACATGCCGCAGGGCGTGAGACCATGCATGGGGGGGGGGGGCGTTGCACCGGGGCGCAGGCAACGGCGGCAGCCGGAACCATGGCCAGCTGGCCGGCATGTGGGCCACGGGAAAGGCCACGTACGTCCACGCTGCAGGAAGCCCCCAGGAGGCTGAGCGTGTGGTGTGAGGAGGTAGCAGGTGCAGAGGGCACAGACAGAGCCACAGAGCTGGGACAGGTGACTAAAAGCTCCCAGACACAGGGCCAGCGCAGGGCACTTGGCAATACACAGGCCGCAGCATTCTTGGCAGGGCTAAGTCCCAGGACAGGTGCTGGAGAAGCAGGCAGCACGGGTGCAGTGCAGAGGGCTGCACAGACGCACTGGGTAGTGTGGCACCCACCAAGGCTCTGGCTGACATGGACAGCTCCCTGCAGAGCAGGAGTCAAGAGACCACAGGAGAGGCTGGGGGAGAACGGCAGCAGCGGCCGCGCACACTGCCGAGAGACCCACGGGACAAGAGCCAGGGCCTCGTGTCCACACTGAGACAAGGTCTGGATGGAGCACAGGGACAACAGGCCCCCTAGCAGGGGGCTCTCCCTGCACCTCCTGTGTTCAGCCTGCGGAGTCCCAGTAACCCAGTGATAGAGAGGAGCACTAGAGAGGAGACTGCAGCACAGCAGGGAAAGGCGAGGGCACGCGGGCAGGGGTGAGGAGGGCACGCGGGCAGGGGAGAGGAGGGCGTGCGGGCAGGAGAGAAGAGGGTGTGTGGGCAGGGGAGAGAGGGCGTGCGGGCAGGGGAGAAAAGGGTGTGTGGGCAGGAGAGAGGAGGGTGTGTGGGCAGGGGAGAGAGGGCGTGTGAGCAGGAGAGAGGAGGGCGTGCGGGCAGGAGAGAGGAGGGCGTGCGGGCAGGGGAGAAGAGGGCGTGTGGGCAGGGGAGAGAGGGCGTGCGGGCAGGGGAGAGGAGGGTGTGCAGGCAGGAGAGAGGAGGGCACACAGGTGAGAAGGGTGTGCAGGAGGTTTCTGCACGACTGTCACAGCTAAGTTGAGAGGTGATGCATGTCCAGTTCAAAGCCACTGAGAGGAAGTGAGCAGGAGCGAGTGCCCACGGGACTGGGTGCGAGAGCAGACAGGGGCAGCTGGGGCACCTGCGCCCAGAGCACGGGAAGGGCGCAGGTGGGGGCTGGCACACAGTGCTGTTGGCCGCGTGTGCCCTGCAGAGAGGTTGGGTTCCACGTGGTCATGGGGGTGCCTGGCCTTGGCCCAGCTGCTGCCCCTCCGGGCTCTGCTCCCCCCGGGCTGTTTCCAGCGGCCTGCTCAGCCCCGCCCACGGCCCTCTGCCCCCTCCTCTCCCGGGCACTTCTCCACCAGCGGCACCCACCGTGAGCTGGCGCACCTCCCCGCTCTGCACCAGCTGCCGCTCCTTCTCGGGCGTGATGGCACAGGCCAGTTTCTGGAAGGGAAGCAGCGAGGGAGGGGGCTCTGTGGGGGTCCCACAGAGCCGCAATCCCTCGGGTGTAGGCCTGGTCTCTTGGCACGCAGGTTGCGTCCAGCAGCACCCCACCCCCAACTCAGACACACACAAGTGCACACAGACAGCCACGCATGTGTGAACATCAGACACACTGCACATGTGGGCAACACACATGCACACAGGACACGTGGGAAGGCACATGCATGCATGGGACAGGTGCAGAGCCTCGTGCCCACACGGGGTGGCAGCCGCTCCTTGGCATGGCCTCTGGGTAAGGCTGCCAGGGACGGCAGCAGCGCCCCCATGCCCATGCCCACATCTCTGACCTGAGCTCAAATACACCCCCAACACCTGTATGCCAGCCCCTGAGGCCCCCGGGGCCTGTCTCCCACCTTACGGGCAGGACCCCTCCTGGTGGCCCAAGACCCTGGCATCCTCCTGGCATGGCCCCTTCCACTTCGCCACACACCGCGCACGAGGGTGTCTGTGTCCAGCCAGGGTAGAAGACGAGTCCTCGGAGACTGACCCGCCAACGGGCAGGACCCTGGACCCATGACCATGGGCGAAGTACTGACTGACCTGGAAAGGGCTAACATCCCTTCCCTCTGCTCTCTTGGCCTCAGTCTAAATTCTCATATAACAGAGAAGCAGCCTTCCCTCCCGGATCCCAGGCAGACATTCTCTCACCCCTCTTATCACTCCAGGTGCAGGGGTGTAACTTTTGGAGCCGGCAGCTTGGCCTTGCATTCCTCCCCGAGACTGCTGACCATTTTGTTTATAGACTGGACAGAACAAAGTATTCTTTGATGTTCTGCTATCCCCTCCTGCCACCCCTCCCCCCCATGACTTCTCTGTATTGAGTTCATTAGAGGTGTATACTGGGGAGCTGGAGCGATAGCACAGCGGTAGGGCGTTCGCCTTACAAGCGGCCAACATGGCCGCCCCGAGTTCGATTCCTCCGCCCCTCTCGGAGAGCCCGGCAAGCTACCGAGAGTACTCGATATGCCAGACACAGTAACAACAAAGTCTCCAATGGAGACGTTACTGGGCCCGCTCGAGCAAATCGACGATCAACGGGAGGGCCTTTACCTTTACCTTTTACTGGGATGGTAAATGAAAGAGGCTGGGACCATCAGCGGGTAGCCCTCTGGACCAATTTAGAATTCCTCTCAGGTTTCTATCTCAGCACCTCTGACTGAAAGAACAGCCACACAACACGGGGGGCACATGGGCAGATACACAGTAAAAGTCTGTACTTACCAATACACAATCTGTACACACATGTGCAGACTCTTGAAGCACACACGTACACAGCAGCAAATGCACACATAGATGCACATGTGCACAGTAGGTACATGCAGACACACCAGCCAGCATGCACACACGTACACAGCAGATAGTACATGCCTGCACAGTCACACGCAGACACGGGCACACAGGAGCACATGTGTGCAGGGTGAACATGTGTGCACACACGGCGCTGTGCTGCTCACTCCCGCCGCTGGGGTCGTTGCAGGTGCCCACTGGGACATGCACACGGTAGGAGGGACGTCTCACACACACCTCCCGCACAGAGCCGGGCAGGCTGCAGAGCTTGTAGGCGGCGTAGATGGGCACCATGGACATGGAAGAGGCAGCAATGGTCCAGCCCAGCATGTTGGCCCAGTCAGGGAACACGTAGGTCCCGTAGTGTGGGGGCCGGAAGGTCACGATGCTGACCACAACCACGAACTGAAACAAGGGGTAGGGCAGGTGGGTGAGGGCTGAGTGCCTGGTAGGGCACTCGGGAGGGGCAGGGCTGGGTGCCGAGTGAGGCTGGGTGCCTCGCCTGGCACACACTCAGGGATCCAGGCACTCAGTCCTCACTGCTCATCGAGGGCAGTGAGTGCCCTCCCAGGGGTGCTACTTCCCAGTGGAACATTCCTGACTCCTCCAGAAGCTTCTATGATCAGGGGCACCTGCCTGTATACAACCAGTGATGACACTTGTCAGAAAGAGCTCGGAGTACCCTGGGGAGGGACCACAGTGGGAACACATGCCCCCTCCCCTTTCTGCATCATGTGACGCTCTGCTCCTGATATCCATTTCTTCCCATCCCAACACCCATCCATCCATCCATCCATCCACCCATCAGTCAGCCATCTTTTCACCCACCATCTATCATCCATCCATCCATCCATCCACCCATCCATCCATCCATCCGTCCCAACCATCCATCCACTATCCACTCATTCATCCATCATCCATCCAAACATCCATCCACTATCCACCAATTTATCCATCATTCATCCACCCATCCTCCCACTCACCCATTCATCCACCCATCCACCCACTCATCCATCCATCCATCCATCCATCCATCCATCCATCCATCCACTCACTCACCTATCCATTCACCCACCCATATCACCCCCTACAACTTCATTCTTGCTTAAAACAAGACAGCCCAACAGAGATCAAGTGAAAGTCCAGGTCTAAGTCTGCACAACGACCTGGTGAGACCTGAAGCCTGGACCAAGGCCACTGTGCTGCTTGCTGAGCTACCAGGTCAGACCTCAAAGCCACCACAGCAGCCAATTGTTCAGGGCAGGGCAGGGTTCAAGGGGACACACTTTCATTCCCTAGAGGCCCCTTATCAACAACTTCTCCCCTTCATGCAAACATGTCACGTGTCAATGTGCCTGTGTAAGGCATGTTCCATGTGATGTGGGCCCTCATGTGAGACCAGCCCATCTGCAGGCCTCCATGGCTCCTACATGTGCGCTACATGCTTACATGTGATCCACACCCATGGCATGTGTACTACCAGGGTCAGCTGGGTTCTCCCTCCCCTCCAAGGTCAGGAGAGCAAGGTCCCCCCAAACAGATCACAGACCGACTAGTGCGGCCCACGCCCTCCTCCCCACAGAACTGGCCCAGGGTCTGGCTACCTAGAACACGGGCCCAGGCTCCAGGCTGCTCCCTGCCCCCCACCCTGGGTGCTGAGTGGCGGGCAGAACTGTAGGGCAGGGAGCCAGGCAGAGAGGCCCCAGGGCCCTCTCTGTGAGGGGCGGTGCTCAGCCCACCCACTAATTATGCCCCCAGGGCTGCATCTGTTCTTGCCCTCAGGCAGAATCACTCTTCTTATGGCGGTGCCACCTGGAAGGGACAACCCGGGAGAGGGCAACCACCACAGGGACAGAATCCCAGGCCTGGGCCCCACTCCACAGCCCGGGGCCCATCCCAGCCACCCCTCAATGCAGCTCATGCAGCAAACCCAGAGGTACCACTCTGGACCTGGCGGGCAGGGGAGGGATGTGGGCACCGGGTACTGGGTGGGACCCAGCAGGCGGGGCGGGGGGGACGTGGGCGAGGGGTACTGGGTGAGCCGTGGCAGGCACCCTGGCCTGGGCAGTGATGTGGGGCTTTTACCAGTAGGAAGCAGGGGCTGACAAACTTCCAGCAGAGCCGCCAGTAGAGGCTGGGCCGCTGCCCCGTCATCTGCTTGATGTCTTCGCTGAACTGGCGCACACCTGCAGGATACAGCCGCAGGGTCAGGCTGGCGGCTGACACAGCTCCCAGATCCCTGCAGGACTGCAGACCCCACCCCACACTCCCAGGGTCCTCAGGCCTGGCCTCTCAGCATTCAGTGCCCCCAACATCTTCTCTGGGTACTGCAGGCTGGCACTGGAGGGAGTTTGTCTGTCTGCAGACCTGCTGTGGGGACCTGCTGTGGAGGATCTGCTACGGGATCTAACGTAGGGCCCTGATAAGGGGATCTACTGCAGGGACCTGCCATGGGATCTCTGTGGGGGATCTACTGCAAGGATCTGCTGCAGAATTTTTTATAGAGAATCTGCTGTAGGGACCTGTGACAGGTTCTGCTTCAGATGATCTTTAGTGGGGGATCTGGTGGGGATTGGCTGTGGGATCTGCGGTGTGGGATCTGCTCCAGAAGATCTGCTATGGATCTGCTGGGGACATGCTGCGGGGGCCTGTGGGAGAATATTCTGTGATATTCTGTGAGGGATCTTCTAGGGACATGCTTTGGGGATCCACTGTGGATCAACTGGGAGGGACCTGCCGTGGGGATCTGCTATAGGGGATCTTCTGTGGGGACCTGTTGTGGATCTGTTGGGAGGATCTGCTGTGGGAACCTACTGTGGCAACCTAATGTTGATTTGCTGTGGGTAATCTGCTATGGGATTTACTGAGGATCTGCTGTGGATCTGCTGAGGGATGTATTGTGACCTGCTGTGGGGACCTGCATGGGGATCTGCTGTGGGGGATCTGCTGGGGTATCTTCTGGGGAGATCTGCGAGGGGATCTTCTGGGGGTATCTACTGTGGGGACCTGCTGGGGGATCTGCTGTGGGAGTTGCTGAGGGGGATCTGCTGTGGGGATCTGCTGAGGGGATCTGCTGTGGGAACATGCCATGGATCTGCTGGGGATCTGCTGAGGGGGCCTCCTATGGGGGTGCACTCAGCTGTCTCTGGCCTGGCTGCTTTGTGGCCTCTGGGTTTCCTCCTGTGCAGACTTCTCTGGGGCCAGCGAGCACTGTGGAGCTGCTTCAGGGAGGTGAGAGCTCAGGCTGGCGTTTCCTCCTCTGGGACAGAAAAGGGGACTCTGCCCTGCCAACGGGACATAGGGTCCTAGACGGCGTGAGTACCCGTGAGTGGGATTTGTGACACCCTAGGACATCCACATGAAGCAGGGCCCAGGTGTAACCCCTAAGGGGGCTTCCAGATTCCCGCTTTGCAGAAGAGAATGAGAGTCAGAGAGGCAGCCTGCCTGAGAGTGTGGGAATGTGGGGGAGCTCCTGAGGCCTCTCTGGAGTGACAATGGGCGTCCCAGGAGGGGCTACAGCAGGGCGCCTCAGGCTTGGGTTCTGACGTGTAGATAGGCTGCCTCCTCCCGCAGGTGGGCTCACTCCCCATCTCCAGAAGTTCTGTCTGGGCAAGGTGCAGCCTCGCCCCCAGCTGATGGGGTTCCCGAAGGCGGGAGAACCCCACAGGGGATGGTTGGCTTGTCATAACCTGTGTCCCGGGGAACATCCCTGTCAGTGAAGATGTGGGGGGCCACCCAGCCACCACCCCAGACACCACATCTAGATGTCTAGGCAGTAGCACCCACAGGGCTCACAGGGCTCTTACAGGACTCACAGGGCTCTCACAGGGCTCACAGGGCTCTCACTGGGCTCACAGGGCTCTCACAGGCTCACGTGGGCTATCACGGGATCACAGGCCTCTCAAAGGACTCAAAGGGCTCACAGGGCTCTCACGGGCTCACAGGGCTCTCACAAGTTCACAGGGCTCACAGGGCTCTCACAGGCTCACATGGGCTGACATGGGCTCACAGGACTCTCACAGGCTCACGGGGCTCTTACAGGCTCACTTGGGCTGTCACGAGCTCACAGGACTCTAAAAGGCTCTCAGAGGACTCTCACAGTTCACAGGGCTCAGAGGGCTCTCACAGGGGTCACAGGGCTCTCACAGGGCTCTCACAGATACAAAGGGCTCATAGGGTTCTCAGGGCTCTCACAGGGCTCATAGGGCTTCCACAGGGCTCACAGGCCTCTCACAGACCCACACGGGCTCCTAGGGCTCTCACAGGCTCACGAGGCTCTCACAGGGCTCACAGGGCTCTCACAGGCTTTCATGGACTCACACATGCCACACAATCACACACTCTCATGGGCTCACAGGACTATTTCATGCCACATGATCACACACGCTCCCATGGGCTCACACATGCCACATGGTCACATGGGCTCACACAAGTTCACTGGGCCATTACATGGCCCCTGATCACACCGCTGACACAGGCTCACTCAGTGGAGTGTTCTCACCATAGAACCAGGCCACGCCGATGGCCTCAATGAGGACGCCGAACAGGATGGACGTGCCTGCTGCGAAGTGGTCGAGCAGCGTGAAGACATAGATGCCGCCCTGGAGAAGCGGAGCTGCTGGGGCCACACGCGCCTCAGCCACCAACACACCGGGCCCAGGGACCCGCAGGCCTCGGGCCTCTGTGCAAAAGCGACCCCCTGGGCAGACAGGACTGAAGGCCACCCAAAGCCACACAGGGCAGGGTCTGGGGGGGGGGTGTCTGCCCTGCAGGCTGTCTGCTACTGCATCTGCCTGCCTGAGGGACCCTGGGGGAGGGCAGGGGAGCTGCTGGAGCAAGTCCACGCGGGCTTGGACCTACGTTGGTGACACAGAGCAGCGAGAGGAGGAAGGTGGCAAGGACGACAGCCAACGTGAAGAGCTCGCGGTGGCGGCGCAGCAGCTGGAACTCGTCCACCAGCCCGGTGATCACCGATTCCATCCCGCCCATCTGCACACAGACACGTCACTGCTACCTCCCAGCCTCCAGGCGCCCCATGGGTATCTCTCCGGGTGCCCTGTGGGTATCCCTCCGGGTGCCCCATGGGTCCCCTTCAGGCACCCCGTGGGTATCCCTCTGGGTTCCCCATGGGTATCCCTCCAGGCGCCCCGTGGGTAACCCCTTAGGGCACCCCTGTGAGTCCTCATCCAGCTGTCCCGGGGATATCCCTCCAGGTGCCCCGTGGGTGCTCCACTCTCCCGGCGTCCTGTAGGTCTCCCTGTCTGCTGCCTGTGCTAGCCTCTGCTGCTCCCTCAGCCTTTCACCTCCCCAGAAGTGCCATCACAGGACACTCCACTCCTCTTCACAGGGTGGTGGCTGAGATGGGGACATGGAGGTGGAGACAACCAGGTACCACCAGGGCCCCCCTGGGGGATACACACTGGGGGACTGGGTCTCGGCTGACCCACAGGAGGGCTCGGCTGAGGGAGGCAGCAGCACCTGCAGCCTGGGAAGACCCACTTGCACATGCAAAGATATGGAGGTACCCATGCAGACATACACACGGACACACAAGGCACACACACGGGCACACATGCATGCCCATCCCCGTGTCAACGTGCACACATGCATACACAGGACTTCAGTGGCCAGGTCTCAGTCCTGCTAGTGCCTCCTGGCTCCGGCCCTCGGGCGCTGGGGGATCAGGAAGGGAGGGTGCGAGGTTTCAGAGGGCCCCGCGCCACACTCACGGCACTGTCGATGCCCAGCGTGAGTAGCATGATGAAGAAGACCACGGCCCAGGCCGAGGACAGCGGCAACGTGGCCAGCGCCTCAGGGTAGATGATGAAGATGAGCCCAGGGCCTGCGGGCAGAGGCTATGTCACCCACAGTCAGACACACTGTCACTCACAGTGTCACACTGTCACCTGTGGTCAGTCACACCTTCACCCGCAGTGTCACACTGTCACTTGTGGTCAGTCACACCTTCACCTGAAGTGTCACACTGTCAGCTGTGGTCAGTCACACCTTCACCCGCAGTGTCACACTGTCACCTGTGGTCAGTCACACCTTTACCCACAGTGTCACACTGTCACCTGTGGTCAGTTACACCTTCACCCGCATTGTCACCCCAACACCTGTGGTCAGTCACACCCACAGTGTCACCCCATCATACAGTAACCTAGCCACCCACAGTCTCTCTATTCCACAGGCACTCCATCACCTTGTCACCCACTGGCACTCCATCACCTGTGTCACCCACAGGCACCCCATCACCTTGTCACCCACAGTCATCCACTGGCACCCCACCCCATCATTTGTGGTCACACAGGCACCCATGTCACCAGTGTCACCCTCGTCACAGCCCACAGCTGCTCTTCCCTGCTCCTGTCCTGGGCACAGTGAGGGGCTGAGGTGTGAGGGACACCCTCATGCCACCTGCAGTCAGAGCGCCCACGACACGCACAGGAGGGCCCCACCCCGCATGAGGACACAGGGCCGGGGAGGCTCTGGGGTGGACGAGGTGCGGGGGGCTCTCTTAACAGTTCTGCGACCTCAAATGGTCCCAAAGATGGGAACGGACAAGCCCCCCAGGCCCACCGAGTCCACTTAACCTGCTGGGCCCCTGCCCTGCGGACCCAATGGATACCCCGGTCTGGGCTCAGGACCAGGCCCAGCGTCTGCTAGCTGAGTCGGGTGAGCGATATTGACTTCGGCCGAGGCTGTGCTTCCCTGTCTGCTCTTTACCACAGTGAAGGGCAAAGCAAGGCACGGGGCCATGAAGGCCGGAGTAAGTTCCACTGCCCAACCAGAGGTGGGGGCCCTAGGAACAGCGGGTGGGGTGGGGGCCGCCTCTCCTGCCCACGGACACTCAGTGTTTCCGCCCATGACAGTCCTGCAGGCAGACCAGGGGCAGAACCCAAGGGTCCCGGCCTGAGACTCTGGCCTCCTGATCTGTGCCTGGACTCCCGGCACCCCTGCTCACCTGGCCCACACCTGGCCCCCTGAAGCATGCATGCCGCTGGGAGGGCTCCCTCTCTGGGCCACCGTGTCAGGAGGGCCCTCTGCTCAGCCTGTGTCCTGAGGGTCCCCGGACCGGGGGCAGCCCCTGCGAGGCCTTGGGACAGCGCTGGACTCACCATCCTTGGCCACGTCTCCGATGGGCACGTCGTGCTTCTGGGCCATGTAGCCCAGGAATGAGAAGACCACGAAGCCTGAGGAGAAGCTGGTCAGCGAATTCACTGAGGTGGTGACGAGGGCATCTCTGTGGGCACAGGGCAGGACAAGGTCAGCGCCCCCCCTCCCCGCCTGGCCCCCGCACACCGCACATCCGCTCAGCCCCAGCCCAGGCCCTGGGTCCCCTCTGACTCCACTGACCCTCAGACTCCCTCTGACCCCACTGATCCCCAAGTCACCTCCCCGTGCCAAGCATAGACCCTGCCTGGCACCAAGCCTGCTGGCCCCTGTGCCCACCCACCCCAGCACTGCATGACCTGTAGCAGTCGTTGGTGAACTTGTTGTAGCTGGAGAAGGCTATCAGCACCCCAAACCCCACGCCCAGCGAGAAGCAGATCTGGGTGGCCGCGTCGATCCACACCTGCGTGGAGCCAAGCACGTGGGTCAGTGGGCCCCATGCTCCCCACGTGGCCCCAAGGGGGTGGGACCTCATCCTCATCAGACACATCCGTGTGTGTCTGTGCGCCCCCCCCCCCAGAACGAGCATCACACTCGCTGGACAGCAGCTGTAGGCTGACCTCGAGCCTATGACAGCCTGCTGCGGGCACACAGCACCCGGGAGAGAGGTGAGCACACGCCACACATGGGTACCACATGGCAAGTACATGGCACACGCATGACCATACACGATGACCACATGGCATACACATGACCACACACAATGAGCATATGGCATGCATATGATCACACAGTAAGCAAATGCACACATATGCGGTGAGCACGTGGCACACGCATGACCACACAGAGTGAGCACGTGACACACGCAGCGAGCACACAGTAGAGCCCACGGCTGCCCCCCCCCCCGACCCAGCGCAAGGGCCCTCCAGACTCACGGAAGCCTCGCAGAGCCGGTGGAAGTCCACGCTCAGGTAGGCCCGGATGCCGTCCATGGCCCCCGGCAGCGTGATGCCGCGCAGCAGCAGGGCGAACAGGACCATGTAGGGCATGGTGGCCGTCACCCACACCACCTGCGGGCAGGCCAGTCACTGCACCACGGGAGGCCCCACAGGGCTGCGCCTCCCAGCCCCCACGTGGCTGCATCCCCAACCCACCCCCACGTGGCTACTCCCACCCAGCCCCCCACATGGCTGCATCTCCGCCCTGCCGCCATATGGCTGCACCCTCTGACCTTGCCCGAGGTCTTCACGCCCTTCCACAGGCTGAAGTAGAGCAGCACGATGACGAGTACCAGGCAGGCCGTGAGCTGCCACCGGGGTAGGCCCAGGTCTTCGATGCCTCGGCTCTGGTGCAGGTGCAGGACCGCACGCCTAGGGACAAGGACTGAGGGTTTGGCTCCCCCGCCCCCGCCCCGGCACACCGTCCCGGCACCTCCTCAGCCCTCCAGTGAGCCCCACTGACAGAGCCAGCCAGGACCCCAGTGCCCAGTGAACCAGGCCCAGGGATGGGGCAGGGCAGGGGCAGGGGGAGGGTCAGGGAAGGGTCAGGGGAGGGTGGGTACAGTCAGGGGAGGGTCGAGACAGGTCAAAGTGGGGTCAGGGGAGAATGGGGACGGTCGGGGGAGGGTCAAGGGAGGGTCAGGTCAAAGTAGGGTCAGGAGAGGGTCAGGGGAAGGTCAGGGAAGGGTCAGGTCAAAGCAGGGACAGGGGATGGTCAAGGGAAGGTCAAGTCAAAGTAGGGTCAGGGGAGTGTTGGTGTAGGATCAGGTGAAAGCAGGGTCAAAGGAAGGTCAGCAGAGTGTCGGGAAAGGTCAGAGAAGGGTCAGGGTAGGGTCAGGTCAGGTGACGGTCAGGGGAGGACAGGGAGGGTCAGGGAAGGGTTGGGGGAGGGTCCGGGAGGGTTGGGAAAGGTGGGGGAGGGTCAGGGGAGGGTCAGGGGAGGTTTGGTGGGAGGGTGGGGAGGGTTGGGGGAGGGTCAGGTCAAAGCAGGGTGAGGGGAGGGTGGAGGAGGGTTGGGGAAGGTGAAGGCCCAGGTGACGGCCCCAGGGAGGGTGCTGGCTCACAGAACTCCCACTGTGACCTGGCTTTTGGCCTTGTCCGTGGAGGCCAAGGGAGAGGGGAGCCCGGCACAGAGGCCTGGCTATTGCCCAATCTCGGTCACTCCGCAGGGCACAGGGCAGGCCCAGGGCCCAGCTGTCCCCTGCAGGGCCCCTCACACTCCGCAGCTCCCATTTCTGAGGTGGGGGGACCCCGCTAGTCCCGCACCTGATGGCAGAACCACCCAGCAAGGCACAGGTGGGGGTGGGCGAGGGGCCAGGGGTGCCGAGGGCCAAGCTGGCATGGGGGCAGGACAGACTGGGCAGAGCCCCAGGCCCCCCACCAGAGCAGGGCTGGACCTGCCCCAGTTCCCCAGACCATAGGACCCCTGGGGGACATGGCTGTCCTGGCCATGAGGGGCCCCATTCCCCGTCAGCAGTAGTGCCTAAGGACACAGCAAGTCACACACCCAGGAGCAGAACCCACAGTTGCCTGCCCAGCACACACGCACTGTGCACACATGCGTCACCAGTGACACAGGCCATACCCACACTCAGCCACCACAGACAGGCGTGTCCACACTCAGTCACAACAGACACACACCTGCCCACACTCAGCCACCACAGACAGGCGTGTCCACACTCAGTCACAACAGACACACATCTGCCCACACTCAGCCACCACAGACAGGCATGTACACACTTAGTCACCACAGACAGGCGTGTCCACACTCAGCCACCACAGACAGGCGTGTCCACACTCAATCCCCACAGGTATAGACCTGCCCACACTCAGTCATCACAGACAGGCATGTTCCATACTCACTCACCACAGACAGGCGTGTCCACACTCAACCACCACAGACAGGCATGTACACACTTAGTCACCACAGATAGGCGTATCCACATTCACCACAGACAGGCATGCCCACATTCAGTCACCACAGACAGGCGTGTCCACACTCAGCCACCACAGACAGGCATGTTCCATAGTCACTCACCACAGACAGGCGTGTCCACACTGAGTCACCACAGACAGGAACATGGACCAGTCACCACAGACAGGCATGTCCACACTCAGTCACCGCAGACACAGATGAGTCACCACACACAGGCTGTGTCCACACGCACATGAGTCACCACGGACAGAGGCTGTTACTACGTGGATGCAGAGGAGCAGTGGCTACCCTCTGCCACAGCAGGGAGAAGCTGGACATGACAGGAAAGGACGTGACGTCAGCACCAGGACAGGACAAAGCCACTGGTGCAGGACATGAGCCCCAGAGAAGTCCTCAGGCAGGGTGGGTGGGCTGCGGCGGGGAGGGAGTCTACGGGCTGGCACAGAGTGCCCTGGGGAAGGCGTGGAAGCAGCCACGCATAAGGCTCAACACACTCGCCTTGACATGCTTCCTGGAAGGCCAGGGCGAGGGACCCTGTGGGACCCGCAGCAGGACACCCACGCGGGTCCGATGAAGACAGTGGCTCTGTCTTCAGCGGACTCTCAGCGATGGTGAAAGGGTAACTGCGGGGCCATGAGATGCTCCGGATGATCTCGGCTGGACACACCCTACGCTAGATCCAGCACCAAATCCACAGGCCACACCGGGCAGAGTATCTCTAGAAGTGACCCCGGAGCCCTGAGCAGCACTGGGGAGGCCCCCAGTAAGAAATTAAGTGTCCAGGGGCTGGAGCAGTAGCACAGCGGGTAGGGCCTTGCACGCAGCTGACCCAGATTCGATTCCCAGCATCCCATATGGTCCCCTGAGCACCGCCAGGAGTAATTTCTGAGTGCAGAGCCAGGAGTAACCCCTGAGCATAGCCGGGTATGACCCCCCCAAAAAATTTAACTGTCCAGAGCAGGAAGGGCAGGAGGAATCCCTGAGCACTGCTGGGTGAGGACCAGAAACCAGGAAAAACAAACAAAACAGAACTAGTAAGAATCCCATGGCGCAGGAGTGACTGAGGCAGGAGGGCCGAGTGGGGTGTGCCCAGGAGAGCGAATTCCAGCCATGCCACTGGGAGCAGAGCCGCAGGGCATGTGCTCCAGTCCTGTGGGAGCCCAGCGCCTGGCTTCCTCCTGGGAAGGCAGACGAGCCAAGAGACATGCGACAGACATGCGCGTCCGAGACCACCTCGACATGGGATGGGGCGGCGGCGTTGGGCTGAAGGCGGTGGCCAGAGAGAGGCATACGCGCTGCCTACCTGCCACACAGACTCACCTCTGTTGGGAGGCGTCCGTGCACCTCAGGCAGCCAACTCGGATGCCAGGGAGGGCAGGGTTGGGAACGCAGCTGGGGTCGGGGAGACCGGCCTAACTCTGGCTCACACCCAGCCAGAGCAGGCCTGTCCCACACTGCCCTAGAGCGGACCGCGTCACGTCCAGTCACAGGCCAGGGCCAGATGCAGACAGAGAAATGAAGATGACCCCCTGAAGGGCAGCCATCATGGACGTGGAAGATGGCTCCTGGGGTCCCTCACTTGCCATCCCTGCACTACCCTCCCCTCACCCTGCACCCCTGCACAACCCTCCCCTCACCCTGCACCCCTGCACAGCCCTCCCTTCACCCTGCTCCCCCTCTCCTCACCCTGCACCCTGTATACAACCTCCCCTCAGCCTGTGCACACCCTCCCCTCACCCTGCACCCTTGCTCCCATCCACCCAGTCAGCTCCTCTCAGGCCCCACATCCTGAGGGCAGAGTCTGGGTGCAGGGCCCAGGAGGAGGAGCCTGTGGCCACCACCTGTCAGCCTCTGGCTCAAGTCTCCCTCCTGGAGGCGGACGCAGCCAGGGGTGCGTGGGCCCCCACGGTGGCACTTACTCGAAGTACTCGGCAGCGGGCGTGGCCCGGAAGCTGGCATTGAGGCCGTCGCTGGCGTTGGCGCGCGCGTCGGAGCAGTTGGCGCTGTTCCAGGTGTTGTTGCAGTGGGTCCAGGGCAGCTCCAGCGTGAAGGAGGAGAAGAGATAGTGCAGCGCCCAGGCGATGATGACGTTGTAGAAGAAGCCCACGTAGAGCGAGATGAGGATGACAGTGAAGCCCACCCCTGGGAGAGCGGGCAGGTGTCACTGCTCGGCACTCGGCCCCTTGATACCATCAAGGCCAGGGACAAGCTTGACCCCCAGCACATGTGCTCAGCTTGGGCCTCGTGCAAAACCCAGCCACCAGCCCCCTCCATGGGGCACAAGGGCCACCAGGCCACAGAGAACCACCAGGGACATGTGGGGGACACAGACAACCCAAACCACTCAGAGGCCCCAGGGACATCCATGCCAACAGGCACCTGGGGGCCGGCATGTCTCAGGTCTTCAAGGGTCACCCAGAGCACTGAGGGACAATAAGTTTCATCCAGGGTCACAGGGCAGACAAGGCTACTCATAACCATCTGTCTGCCCGTGGCCACCCCAGCAACCAGGACCACCCCCCCATAGTGAACCACTCACCCAGGACCCCCATGTGATCCACGTCAGCCAGGCCCTATTAGACCTGCCCCCACTTTCCGAGATTGTTCAGGGTTGTCTGAAGCCAGGAGGACCTACTGCTGAGAGCTGACCCCAGGGTCACGGGAATCAGGGATCAGTCTTGGAGGGGGCTTGGCTGCTGGGAACCAAAGACTAGAGAGAGGAGCCGTGGCAACAGGCAAGGGGCACGGGGAGACTGCGTCTCCCGTGGCAGCAAGTGAGAGGTGTGGGGAGCCCTGTCTCGTGGCCTTGGTGCTCCGGTATTCATGGGGGACAAGCACTGTCCCATCCCTGTGACTGGAGAGCTCACGCGCTGTCCTGCAGCCCCGGAGCTGTATGCAGAGGACTCCCTGGGGCTACTTTGAGGCTCACTGGCGCCCACCCCTGCTGCAGCCCGTCCCACCCGCCTGTGTCCAGGAGGGACAGGAGCATAGCCAAACCCTCAGAGAAGCTGTTTTCTTTCTCGGGCACTTCCTGGGTGGCAGTGGAAGACGCACAATGCGGCACGCTGGTGCCCACATGGCTCCTGCATAGGGCCAAGGAAGGCTGGAGGCCAGGGAGCCCAGGAGAGTGCTTGGCGGCCGGGGGTGTCTGGGAGAGTGGCTGGTGGCCGTGAGGGTGGCGCTGGCCTTTGGCAACCCTTCTCCAGAAAGAGCGGGTCAAAGGAAGGAAGCTGGGGATGGTGTGCGCCCTCGCTGGCTTCCAGGGTTGAGTGGGGTTTGGAAGCTCCATGCAGGGCCCCGAGGCTGGCGGCTGGAAGATGCCTGCCTCGACTTTCACAATCCAACTGTCCTTCAGAACCTGGGGATTGACGCCAACCAGACCCTTCCACGGCCTCCTGCAGGCAGCCTGTCAGTGGCAGCCCACAGCCCCGGGCACCGTTCCCTGGGCACAAACTTCCCTTCAAGGTGCCGCTCGCCGGCTTTGATCTCTGCCCAGCGGCCTGTGTGGGGTGCACGTCCAAAGTTCAGGAGCTGTTTCTGTGGCTTCAGCGTCCCCAAAGGCCCCCCCGGCCTGCATACAGGCTCTGCAAAACTCCACCCGGAGCTCCAGGGCAGCAGGCCCAGCCCATAGAAGATTCCAGAAGGGAGCCGAGTCCACAGGGCCCGCCATCTCTGAGACAGGAAGGTCCAAGCCCTGCAGGCTGGGCCTGCCCACACACTGAGGAGAAGCCTCCCACTCCCCACCACTGCTGGGACAGACTGTCCATGCGTGGCATAAGGGGCCCAGGCCCCCTGAATAATGTCGCACGTCTACACTGCTCTTGGGTCTACCCTATCACAGGAAGGAGGCCTGGGCCCTAGAAGCCCTCCCAGCAGCGGAGCAGAAGCCAGCGGCTGCTCGACACCCCCTCGGCTACCCCGTCTGCCTGTGAGTATGGCTGGGACTGGTGGGGAGCCTGGCGAAGGTGTGGCCCTGGCAGTCACACTTGGACACGCACAGCTCAAAGGGAGTTGCCTGAAGCCTGAGGGAATTCTGGAGTGGCTAGCTCGCATGGGGCTTGAGCACCCACACACACCCTGATTGTGAAAGGTCCCCAGAGGCCCCACTGGACATCCAGGGAAAGAGATAAGGACACAGGGCACCGGGAGGCATGGGTGGAGGTGAGAACAGGGAGGTGAGAACAGGAGGAGTGAGCGGGAAGGTGTGACCAAGGAGGTGAGAGCAGGAGGTATGAGCAGGGAGGTGAGAAGAGGAGGTGAGAACCGGAGATATGAGCGGGGAGGTGAGAGCAGGAGGTATGAGCGGGGAGGTGAGAACAGGAGGTGAGAGCAGGAGTCAGCAGGGAGGTGAGAACAGGAGGTGTGAGCAGGGAGGTGAGAATAGGGGGTGTGTGGAGGAAGGTGAGACTGGGAGGAGTTTGCGGAAGGTGAGAATAGGACTGTGAGCAGGGAGGTGAGAACAGGAGGTGAGAGCAGGGAGGTGAGCGTGGGAGGTGTGTAGGGCACACAGGGCCTGCCGTGCCGGGGCAGGAGGGGGGGACGTTCACTGAAGGTGACCGTCACGGTCGGGAGCAGGTCCTGCGACAACGGAGCCCACTCTGGCTTGGTGGTTCCAGTCACCTCTGGCCCAGGCGGCGACTCGGCACCCCTGAGACTGGGTGGGCTGGTGAGAGGGGCCCTCGGTCACGGGCCTGGGCAGAGCCTGAGGCCGAGGGGATCCGTCCCGGGGCGCCTACCTTTGAGGAGGGGGCAGATCTTCCAGACACCCGCGGCGCCTTCACGGTTGAACTGGCCGAGCGCGAGCTCCATGTAGAACAGCGGCATGCCCGCGATGAGCATGAAGAGCAGGTAGGGGACCAGGAAGGCACCTGTGGGGGTGCCGGGCCAGCTGCAGCTCCCGGAGGGACCCCCAGACCGCACTCCAGGGCACCGGCGGCATTCCCCAGATAGGGGGCCGGGAGGGGCCAGGCCACAGCTGTGCCTCAAGGCAGGGCCCGGGCAGTGCAGGGGAGGCAGACAAGGACTGCCAAGGACAGCAGCTGGCAGCCTGCCCGGGGGCCCACAGACCCTCCCAGTGTGAGGCTGCAGGGCCTCCCCCCCCCAGGCCTCTCCTGCCTCCTCCCCGGGGCCTCGGGCAGCCCTTCCAGCCCCCTCTGTCTGTGGCCATAGGCACCCCATTCGCAGGGGTGTCTGCACCGCCCACTGAACAGGTGCGTGCTGGGGGCAGATGACCAGTGCAACTCCCGGGGGCTCTGTCTCAGAGGGGGCCCGTGGGCTCAGCCTCACCTCCACCGTTCTTGTAGCACAGGTAAGGGAAGCGCCACACGTTGGCCAGGTCCACGGCGAAGCCGATGACCGAGAGCAGGAAGTCGATCTTCTTGCCCCAGGTCTCCCTCTCCGGGGGCTGTGCCGGTGTGTGGGGAGGGCTGATGAGGGTGGACGTGGTGAGCTGCACCCCATTCTGCTCCTTGACCAGGACCAGCTCTACCGCCTTGGGTCCCATGGGGTTGGGCTCCTGGGCCGGGGCCACCACGGGGGACATCAGGGCCACTGGGCATTTGCTGACACTCATGGGCAGTCCGGACAGATTCGCACACCTTCCTTGGGTCTGCAGGGGAGCAAACACAGCAGACGCAGGCTCAAGGGTCTGGCCACAGGGGCAGGAGGGGCATGGCAGAGGCGGGGGCTTCGCAGGGCAGAACACACCTCTCCCAGTGCCTGAGTAATGATGGTACACACACACAACACGTGCACACGCAACACACGTGTACCTGCAACACACGTGTACACACAACACGGGTGTACATGCACATGCAATACATGTGCACATGCGATATATGCGCATACACTCACACACATCACAGTGCACACAAACACGCGCACAGGCAGCGTATGGGCACATGCAACACACGTGCATAGACAACACACATGCAATACATGTGCATATGCAACACATGTGCATATGCTACACATATAACACAGTGCACACACAACACACGTGCTCATGCAACACATGTGTATTTGCTGCACAAACAACACAGTGCACACACAACACACATGCACATGCAACACATGTGCACACGCAACACATGTGCACGTAACACAACAAGCAAGTGCAACACTCATGTACACAACACGTGAATGCATAGTGTGCAGATGCAACAGAGCATAGCACAGCATAGCACAACACACATGTAACACACGTGTGTGCATGCAGCATATGCATGCAATGCCCACACAGCATGCATTGTCCACACGCTACATGCCCGTGCATGCAATGTCCACATGCTCACACACATCCATGCACAGCATGCACCACCCACATGCCCACACACGCTCACATACGTGCGCGATGTCACATGCACGCGGTTAGTGCAAGACACAGCCAGGCACTGCCTAGAGGAGCTGTGCCCGCCGGAGTTTGAAGAAATTCTCACACTAGAAGATTCTGCTGCAGCTTCCCCGGGGCGAGCTCGGAAGGAGGGGATGGGGGGGGGCTCGACTGAGCGACCTTCCTGAGGGCCCGACACCTCAGGCACCAGATTCAAGCGGTCCCCAAACCCCTTCCTCACTGAGCCCCAGAGACGCTGCGGGTGGGGGCTGGGCCCTCGCTCCGCGCCAGCCCCGTGCCAGAGACGAGGAGTCAGCGATCTCGGGCCAGCAGCGGCGAGGCTGGTGGGGGCGGGGGTCTCCAGCGTCTGCGCCCCGGCCGGTCCTGCTTAGCCTCTTCGCCAAGAGACCCGGGCCGCCGAGCCCCAGCCACAGGCAGACTCCCGACCCCTAGGGAGCCAGGCAGGGACCCCAGACCCACGGGCGCTCGGCTCTGGACGCCTTCGAGCGCGAAGGCGCGCGCGCGCGACAGCCAGCGACTTTTGGAGACGCCACGCTCCCCGGGACGCGGTGCCCCGACGGTGCCGGCCGGCCGGATGCCCCTCGGCCCGCAGCCCTCGAGGTCCAAGACGCTCGAGCCCCGTGCGAGGAAAGGCCCGGCGCGGGGGCAGCCTTACCTGCGCGCCCCGGCTCGCTCCTGCGCTCCCGCCCCGCGCCCCGCCGCGCTCAAGGCTCGGGCTCCGCTCGCTGCGCTGGGCGGCGCGGCCGCGGCTCTTATCGCGCCGCCAGCCCGCCACGCCCGCCGTCGGGGGCGCCCGGCCGCTGGCTCCGCCCCGCGCCGCCCCCGGGCGGGGGACCCGCTGCTGGTCTCCCCGCCGCGCCCAGCGCCGCGGCACTGCCCGGCCCGCGCCCGGGTCCGCGCCCTGGTCAGCGCTCCGCGCCCCGGCCAGCGCCCACAGCCCCGGGCCCCTTGCCCACGACCCCGACCCCGCGCCCCTGCCCCCGACCCTGCGTCCCCGACCCCAGCCCCGCACCCCCGGTCCGCGCCCGTCGCCCGTGCCCCAGCCCCGCGCGCTGAGTCCCCAGCCCCGCTCCCCCGACCCGGTGCCCCGCGCCCCAGTTCCACGCCCCAAGTCCCCGATTCCGCGTCCCCGGCCCCTGCCCGGGTCCCCATACCCCGGTCCGCGCGCGCTGGTCAGTGCACTCCGGGCCCCGCGCCCCGGCCCAAGCCCCCTACCCCGCGCCCCCGGCCCCTGTGCGGGTTCCCACACCACTGGTCCCCGAGTCCCGAGCCCCTGGCCCCGACCCCCGCGTCCCAACCCGCTCCGGCCCCTGGCGTGTCCCGCGTCCCAGCTCTGGACTCCCCACCCGGCGCTGCGTGTACCCCGCGGAGCCGGACGCGGGAGCGCAGACGGGCTGGGGCGCGGGAACCGGCAGCCCGCCTGGCCCCTGCTGCGGGCACCCCCACCAACATCCCCTGGGAGGGAGGGACGCAGCAGGAGTGGGGGGGTGGAATGAGGGAGCAGGTGCAGGAGCACAGGTGATGTCTAGCCCGCCGCCTTGGTGCTGAGTTCAGGACGGTTCTGGGGCTCTGCCTCCCGCTAGAGAGGGACCGGGACGCCCGAGCCCTCCCCGTCCCAGAGCCGTACCAGAAGTGAGAGTTTCTGGGCTGCGGGGAAAAGGGGGGCTGGATCCCGCGCAGAGCAGGTGGACCCCCAGATCTCAGCTCACTCCGGGGCTGGAGTGCAGTGGGTCCCCAGTGTGCCGAGTCTGGCCCCTTCCCAGCTCCTGCACCCCACGACCTCGCCCCCCCACCCCCCGCATCTTGTCCCTTGGTGTGGCCCAGACTGGGACCCCCGCTGGGAGGACTGGAGGCAGGGTAAGGAGCTGCCTGCAGGGGGGCTCCCGGCTCCCCCTCACTCACCACATGGGTAGATCAGTCTCGTGCTGAGACGGGCAGATGGTGACCTGCCCCTTGGTGCAGCTGTGACGCGTCACCCCAGCACGGGCCTAATCAGCATGTACCATGGCCACTGGGAGATTTTTCCATGGAGGCGGGAGGGCGTGTGACCAGCTTGGACCACACACTGGCCTCGGGCATGGCTCCAGGACAGAGCCGGAGAGGGGGTCCACGCCGGCATGAGGGAGATTGGGGTCTCTAGGGGCAGGATTCCGGGGGTCCTGGGGCAGGGTCTGGGGCCCAGGGTCCTGGGGGGCACTGGGGTCTGAGGGCAGGATTGGGGGTCCTTGGGGCGGCATCTCGGGGTGGGGATTGGGATTCGTGGGCGGGGTCTGGGGTCCGAGGCGGGGACTGGCTGCAGGTGCAAAGTGGCCAGGTGGGTGCCCCTGCCTCAACGCCACCCTAGAGAGGCCCGTGGTTGGTTCAGCACGCCCCAGCCTGTTCTGACAGGGTCCCTCCTCCTGCAAGGCAGGCCGGCAACGAGGGCCAGGCACAGGCCAGGTGCCTCAGCCATGGAGCATGAGGCCAGCCTGGCCAGAATGGGGGCTCACATGGCTGCGCCCACCTCCAGTGGGTAGCCAGGAGGAAGCCGCAGGCGGGGCCAGGGGGTGGTCAGGCCCCAGAGTGGAGGATCTGCTGGGGGCTTCCTGGCAGTGGCATCCCCCTCAGCTCTGCCTCCATCCACACTGCGGGTGAAGGTGCTGACACAGGTTTGGGCACAGGTGCAGGAGCAGGTGCAGGAGAAGAAGCAGGTGAGGGAGCAGGTGCAGGTGCAGGTGCAGGAGCAGGAGCAGGTGCAGGAGAAGAAGCAGGTGAGGGAGCAGGTGCAGGTGCAGGAGCAGGAGCAGGAGCAGGAGCAGGTGCAGGTGCAGGTGCAAGAGCAGGAGCAGGAGCAGGAGCAGGTGCAGGTGCAGGTGCAAGAGCAGGAGCAGGTGAGGGAGCAGGGGCAGGAGCAGGAGCAGGTGCAGGAGCAGGTGCAGGAGAAGAAGCAGGTGAGGGAGCAGGTGCAGGAGCAGGAGCAGGTGAAGGAGCAGGTGCAGGTGCAGGTGCAGGAGCAGGAGCAGGAGCAGGTGCAAGAGCAGGAGCAGGTGAGGGAGCAGGGGCAGGAGCAGGAGCAGGTGCAGGAGCAGGAGCAGGTGCAGGAGAAGAAGCAGGTGAGGGAGCAGGTGCAGGTGCAGGAGCAGGAGCAGGTGCAGGAGAAGAAGCAGGTGAGGGAGCAGGTGCAGGTGCAGGTGCAGGAGCAGGAGAAGAAGCAGGTGAGGGAGCAGGTGCAGGAGCAGGCGCAGGTGCAGGAGAAGAAGCAGGTGAGGGAGCAGGTGCAGGTGCAGGAGAAGAAGCAGGAGCGGGAGCAGGAGCAGGAGCAGGAGCAGCAGATGCAGAGCAGGTGCAGGAGCAGGAGCTCCTGCTCCTCCCCCCTCATTCCCTTCCCCCTCCCACCCCCTCCCCTCTCCTGTCCCATCCCCCTCTCCCCTCCCTCCACAGCTCCGGGTACTGTCCCTGCAGCCCAAGAGGAGCTCGCCTTGGTGCCTCTTTCCTCCCAGCGCCTGGGCTGCCCAAGCAGGGGCCCGGTTCTGTTGGCGACCTGCGGCAGTCCTGGGCCTGGCTCTGCTGGTCTGGCTGGGCGCCCCCCTCTCTTCCTCCGGCTGAGGGGTGCTGGGGCAACCCTGGTGCATTCTGGAGCATTCTCTGGAGTCACGGATGGGGACTGTTGTTCTTTGGGGGGCTGGGCGGCCAGTCTGTGGTCAGTTCTTCCCGCTCCGGGTTAGGAGGGAGACCCGTGCAGAATGTTCTGGATGTCCCCGCCGCAGCATCCACGGTTCACTCATGGAAACGGGCTGGAAAGAGCAGCCATGTGCCTGGTGTGCTGCGTGCGGGGCAGTGCCCACCTGGGTGGGCGGGCTCCCGTGTGGAGAAGCGTCTTTGCTGGAATAGTCCGAGGGGCACCGAGTAGCCTCCCCAGCTCAGCAAGTGTCTAATTGCCAGACGCTCTGTGTGCACTCGGATTGCAATTAAGGCAATTTGGCAAATGGGGCCGCTCACATTTTCTACATAATTACCCTCCTTTCCCCTGGCTCCATCGATCACAGAGCAAGTCCAGCCTCCCCTCGTGGCTGCGCCCCCGGGCGGTGTGCAGGGACCCACGAGGGGGCCAGGCTTCCCTTCCCCTCGCCCTTCCTTGTTTCTTGTTCTCACTTTCTGCTAAGTTTGAAGAAAATTCATGAGAAAATGCCGAGCCCCAATGCCCGCCCTGCCCGCCGATTCCCACATTCTGCTTCCTTCTCCTTCCGGGGAGCTGACTATATTCTGTCACTCTCGTGGGGAAGGCTGTGGCCGTGCCTGGGGTGCTGGGCAGTGCTTCCCCCGGCCCACAGGGACCCCACTCTGACCCGCGGCACCGGGGACTCGGCCCCCATGGCTCCTGGTCTGCATCTGCCTCTCCCGAGTCCCCCTAGGCGGTGCTCTGGCTCCTGCTTGGGCTGCACCTGGCGATGCCATGGGTGGGAGGTGTCGCAGGCGGGCCCTGGCCCTGCCGCTTGTGTCTTGTACCTTGGCGTCCACCTGCAGGCTCCTGACCCCCACGCTCCGAGCCAGACTCCCCTCACGTCCTGTCCCCTGACACTGCTCAGGGCTGACGCCTGGCTCTGCACTCCGGGGTCACTCCTGGCAGAGCTCGGGGGACCCTACAGGGTGCCAGGGGTCGAACCCGGGTCAGCAACATGCAAGGCAAGTGCCCTCCCACTGTCCCTGCATCTGGCCCCTGCATCCTGCACCCTGCCTGAAGGTCTCAGTGCTGTGTCCACACTGGTCTGCAGGTCACATCACGAGCCGTCCTGGTGGCTGTTTACAGGAAAGGCACGATTTGATCATGAGCCCCCTCAAGTCCCCTCCCTGGATGCCCAGGTGGGGAAAAGGGGTCAGGATTCCTCACACGGCCACCATTTCTGGGCAGGCAGTGCTGGGCCTGGGGATGATGCCCGAGGTGCAGCCTGGCTGGGTCCTGTGCGGTGGCTGTGTCACCCCAGGCACAGGCTGGACATGGCCTCGCACAAATGCAGGCTGGACCCCCCGTGGGCAGTAGGGGCTGTTTCTGCCCGGCCTAGGGCTGGGGACACAGCCAGACTGGTTCCTCCCCCAGGATGGATGAGCAAAGGGGCAGCAGTGGGACACCTGTCATGTGTCACCCCCCGTGCGGGCCCAGCCATGCTCATATCCCCCTGGCCCATCTGGCCCCAGCCTGAGCCAGCTCCTGTCCGAGGAGGTGCTGGACAGGGCAGTGGCCACCAGCAGGGTCTGCTGGCTGGAGCAGGGACAGTGCATGGTGGGGGATGGGGGTCTGCCCGCCTGTCATGTGCACACGCATGCACACGCTGTGTGCGTGCGTGCTCAGGTCTATGCGCACACGAGATACGTGGTCACGGACTCTGCACATGTGGTCTGAGTGTGTGCACACCCCTCCCTCCCTGTCACTGCTCCCTCTGAGGGCCACCTGTGTTGGGGCCAGCTGTGGACTGACTTGTCCCCTCATGGACACCGTCAGCAGGGGCCTGGGCACTGCACCTAAAGTGGATGGGCTGTGGGCGATCCTGGCAGGCCTGTCCTCACGTGGGTGGTTCTCCAACAGGAGCTCACCAGCAGCAGCGGGCAGTGCCTGCTGCTCAGGTCACTGGGTCTGACCAACAGCTTCCGGGTCAGCTGACAGCCACCTGTCCAGCCTGGCCTGCGTTGAGGCACCTGTTTCGCGCAAAGACCACACATGACCAGAAGTCGAGTTGTAGAAGCTCCACTTTATTCTCCCGTGGACGACCCAGGCCCAGACTGTCCATCCTGCCCAAGTCGCCATGCCCGCGGGGAGGGGCAGGGTCCTTTCACAGGCTGACGTCAGGGTCACCTGACACCCGTCATGCTCAGCCTCGGGACCGCCCCCGGAGTGCCCCGGTCACCTCCCTGGGGGTCGCCAGGAGTTGGCTCTGTAAAAAACAGGGTCTGTGCTTTGTCGTCCTAAAACCAGGTGCTGTGAGCACCGAGACTGTGTCTGGGTCTCTAGGGCCTGCCGGCGGCCATGACTGGGGTTGCCAGACTTGGGATCCCCCCCAGGACTGTCTGTCACGAGGCGGCCCGCAGGCCCCTGTACAGGGCTGGGGGGGGGGGCGCTTCCAATCTAGAGACCTCACCTCGGAGTCAGAGACCCGCAGCCCCCACAGCACGAGCTCTGGCCGGGGTTGCCCCGCAGCCCCCCGGCACCGTCACGTGTGGGGTCATGGGGGTGGCTGCACATCACCGTCACCTGCCCACCGGCTCCTGAGGGGACGGAGGGGTTGTGCGGGTCCTGACGGGGCTGAGGAGGTGGGGGGGCAGGAGGGCTACGCCCAGATAGGGCCTGTAGCAAAGAAGTTCTGAGCCCAGAAAAAGAAGTCGGAAAAGAATCTTCTCTTTTTCTCTTTTTTTAAAAAAAGGCTGAATGTTTCTCCAAGTATCTAAATGAGATTTATAAAATACTCGTCAGCCCCCACAAATGTAGAAACGTGAAACCCGGTGCCACCGGCAGAGGCGGGCAGGCGGGTGGGCAGTGCAGGACGCGGGCTCTGGGGGCCCCCGCTGGGCCCCGCCCCAGGCAGGGCAGCTGGTGGAGCAGGCTCCAGAAGGTTCCCATCTAGTCCAGTTTCTTGTCAGAAGGCGCCTGTGCTGCCACATCCGAGCTGTCAGGGCTGAAGTCGGCACAGAAGCCGTTGGGGGTGAGGGCGGGGGCGCCCGGCACACGGCGCTCTGCGTGCAGGTACTCCTCGGCGAAGTTGGGGCACACGTCTGCAAACCGGCTGAAGTCAGCTGCAAGACACATATGCTCGAGTCAGGAAGTGCCATGGCCATTGTACACAGTGCCACCACCCGGCACCCAGGCCACAGGCAGAGCTGGGTGGCCGGAGAGGAGTGGAGGAGGGGTCAGCGCGGGAAGGGGCACTGGGGGCCTCCCTGCTGCTCGGCCTGGCCAGGACACCTGGACAGCCAGTGCTCCTGACCCACCACTGACAAACTCCCAGGAGGGGAGCAGGGCTGAGTGCCACCATGTCCTTCATGAGACCCAGCACAGCCAAGACAGGGCCTGCCGACTGAGTGTGCGTGAGAACACACATGTACACACACATGCACGCACACACACACATGCAAGCACACACGCGCGCGCGCGGACGCACACTGCTCAATCGAGCCCCACAGCTGCCCAGCACGGAGATACTCCCTGACATTTGGGTGCGAGTGCGAAAGCGCCCAACAAGCCCTGAGCCGTGACCTTTCCCGAGCAAACACTGTCTGCGTCTCGGTGTGGACACACCACTCCTGTGTGTGTGAGAGAGAGGGAGAGGGAGAGGGAGAGAGAGAGGGAGAGAGAGGGGGGAGGGAAGGAGAGAGGGAGAGAGATAGGGAGAGAGAGGGGAGGGGGAGGTGGGGGAGAGGTGGAGAGGGAAGGGGGAGAGGGAGGGAAGAGGAGAGGTGGGAGGAGGGGCGGGAGGCTGAGGTGGACCTCTGCGGCTGCCATGCCCAGCCTTCTCCAGGGGCCTGAGGGTGGGTTTCAGGGTATGGGGGCTGCAGGAGCCTCTTGGTGGGAGCCAGGCACACCAGGCCCGACCACTGCACCCCAGGACCCTCAGTCCCCCCCGAGATGCAGGACCCACCATGCCAGTCTGACCTGGGGAGAACCTTCCAGAGCTACTGGGATGCTCACCGAACGTGATGCGGCCCTTCTCCTCGTGGTCGATGGCCTGGAAGAGGTCACTCACGCGCAGCTCGGCCACCCCCAGGGCTGTCTGCAGGATGCGGGCCAGGGTGTCCTCGTCGATGCTGCCATCCTCAGGGCGGCCGTACATCTGCAGGCCAGGCAGCCGGTCAGTAGGCGGCCAGGCACAGGGCTCACTGTGCTCCCGCCCCACCTGAGGGCCCCTGGCAGCAGGGACACGTGTGTTGCTTCGGACCCGAGTCCCGAGCACAGGCTCATGGGGTTCTTGGAACCCAGCGCACGCGGAACGTGGGAGGGATCCCCAGGGACTCGGGACGTCCTCCCCCTGCCCTGAGTGTAGACGTGTACTGGACAGCGGCTCGGGAGGGGCTCCGGGGGCCAGCACTTGCCTTGAACGCCAGCTGGACGGTGTCCAGGGTCCGGGATGGCCGGCACACGACAGACAAGGCCACCACGTACTCACGCAGGTCGATCTTGCCGTCTTCGCCCTGAGACACAGATGCTCAGGAGACAGCCTGGGCCTGGCCCCCAACTGGGGTGGCTCCCGCCCAGGGAAGCCTGTCTAGCCTCCCATGCATGGCTCCCACCCAGGGCTGCCCATCCAGCACCCATGAGCAGCAGCACGCGGGAGCAGAGGGGCGGGTGGGCGTGCACACATGAGCACAGAGCCAGGGCGGGGTATCCACAGTGAACCCCCGCTCGCCTGACTCAGGCCCTGCCAGGGAGCACCAGGCCGCCAAGGACGCCTGTGCCTCTGCCCTGGGGTCAGCAGCACCTTAGGGCCAGCACCAAGGTTGCCCCTGGCCTCCTTCGCAGACCTTATGGTCCGGGCGAGGGGCACGGGGGTGGGCGCAGCTCCATCTGGCCACCATGGCCCTACTGTGGTCTCCACTTTTTGCCCCCACCCACTGCCATCTCTGCGCCCAAGGAAGTAGGCATAGCTGTGCTGACAGCCGAGCCACCCCAGCCCCCGCAGGTGCTGAGCCGCTGGTTCGAGGGAGGCCGGCTGGAGCAGCCCATCCCCAGCTCCTGTCCCCATGGACAGGCTCCACCTGATGAATGTCCCGCCCCCAGGGCCAGGCCCCACCCAAGACACACCCAGTCACTCCCCAGGGTGCACCCTCAGGACAGGTCCAGGATGCACCCACCCACGGCCCAGCCCAGAGGACACAGCCCAGAGCCAGGGACCCCAGCGAGGCTGTCTCAGAAACGGGTGGGCGAGCTGAGTGGTCTCTGCTGCGCCCCCGGCCCCACCTACCTCGTCAAACAGGCACAGCAGGTCGCGCAGGGTCGGGGACTCGGGCACCCCCAGGCAGGCTGCGAACTCGGGGAGCCCCATCCTCACAGCGCCCTGCTGCCGGGCGCGCTCGGAGTACCGGTCCAGCTCCTTCTCCAGCTTCTCGGGCCTCAGCCTGCACAGGGAGGAGGGCCTGTTTCATGGAACCGAGGCTGGACACAGGGCCCAGCGCACGGGCCTCTGGCCGGACACGCCCCCTGGAGCTGAGTCAGCCCTGGACAAGTCCCGTAGCACGGGAGCAACGCTTGGTGCTGCCTGGGGCCTGCAGGACGGACCCTGCCCTGCCCCACCCAGGCCCCGCCCCCAATTCGGCTCTGGCCCCGCCCCACCCCAGGCCCCGCCCCCAATTCGGTTCTGCCCCTGCCACACTGCTCAGCCCCAAATTCCAGCGCTGGCCCCGCCCCAATCTGCCCTGGCCACGCCCCTGCCCGGCTCTGGCCACACCCCTTGCCCTGCCCTCAGCCCCAGCCCCTCCCCCTCCCCAAGAGGCTTAGGCTACACACTCACCCCAGGCCCCTCACCAGCCTGGCGAATTCCAGAAGACAAGTGTCCACGGGGAGGCGGAGCTGTCCCTCAGCCAGGGCCAGCTGGCAGTCCTCGAAGGTGTAGTCGGTGACAGGGACACCCAGGGCCCTGTGGGACAGACACCACAGCCACTGTCACTGCACTGGCACACACGTGGGGCCACTCTGGAGCATTCTGTGCACAGGCCAGGGGCAGGCAGAAGCCAGAGCTGGCCTGATAGGGCACGGATCAGGAGCAGCGAGTACGCCTGCCCAAAGCCAGGAGACACATGGGGAAGGGGTGGAGGGCCCGGCCCAGTGCCAGCCCCTGAAACCCGGGCAGACCTCTGTGCACCCCCGTACAGACAGGCCTGCAGAGACCTGCACAGACCCACATGGCATCCCTGCAGACAGGTGCACACAGATGCACACTGCACCACCGCACAGAGGCCCGCAGACCCACAGGGCAGGCCTGTACAGACAGGTGCACACAGATGCACGCTGCACCTCCACACAGACCCGCACTGCACCCCTGCACAGACAGGCCCATACAAATCCGCACCACACCCCTGCACAGACAGGCTCACACAGACCCAAATGCACCTCTGTACAGACAGGCCTGCACAGACCCGCACTGCACCCCTGCACAGACAGGCCCACACAGACCTGCACTGCAACCTTGCACAGACAGGCCTGCAGAGGCCCACACCGCACCCCTGCACTTTGAAATTCCAGTCATAGCAACTGACAGTGGCTACAGCTCTGAGCCCCCCCCCCCCCCCCCCCCCGCAAACACACACTGCTGGCAACTGCATCCCAGCGTGCAGGGCTGAAATGCTCCCTGCGTGGCTGGGTGGGCTCACTCACTCTGCCATGAGGCGACGCACATTGTTGGCATACAGCGCCGGGTCATTCCTCTCCTCCTCCGAGGGGTGGTACACAGGCAGGAACTATTGAGAGAAGCGAGTCACCCCACACAGAGCAGGGTGTGTGGTAGGGGAAATGCACTCAAGGCAGAGGGTGGTGCCACGGTCCCGCCCAGCCTCGCCCATCCTCCTGCCTCCCGGGCAGGGTCCGGCTCTGGTGAGAAGGGACCCTGCACTGTCCCGAGGGGCCGTGGGCAGAAAGGACCCTGGCCCTCTCACTGTGGAGGGAGGCGGGCTCAGCCAGGGGGACCGGGCAGCCTTGCTCCCTGCATGTCCACCCCTGCAGAGACGCCCCCACACTCACCTCGATCTCCACACGGCTGTGCAGCTGGCAAAGTGTGAGCCACAGAATCTCCAGCCTAGGACAGAGAGGTTGGCTCACCGGGGGGATGCCCACGGCAGCAGCCCCCCTGGAGCTGCGCTCACACGGGGGCCGTCAGCTGGGGGTCTGTCTGCAGGGTCTGCCTCCCCTATGCCTGCACCCCTGCTTGTCACTGATTTCCCCTCTACCCGCACCTCTGCCTGTCACTGACCTCCCCCGTGCCCACACCCCTGCCTGTCACTAACCCCAGTGCCCGTACCCCTGCCTGTCATTGACCTCCTCTCTGTCTGCACCCCGGCCTGTCACTGACATCCCCAGTCATTGGCTGAGGCTGGCTCGGGGCCCACACCACGTCCTGCTCGAGCCACAGCTAGCTGAGAACGGGGCAGGGCGCCCACTTGTGTCTGAGTCCCAGAGTAGGCCAGGGTGCCCTGATCCAGAGCCATCAGTGTCTCCTGGGGGTGTGGTGCCAGGATGGGGACCCCAGTCTGGGCTCATGCTGGCTAAACAGGCACACAGGTGGGCACCGCGGGGTGACTTACGCGCCAGGTCCCTGCCATGTCCACGTGATGGTGTCCTGTGGGCAGAGGAGCCGTGAGCTGAAGCCCACCACGGGCGTCTCTCCCACGGGTACACCTGGCCACCCACCCACCGCCCCTCGCCTGCTCTCCCAGCTCCTCAGAGGTACCCTCCCCGCCTCCCCGGGGCTGCTGCGCTTATGAGGAATGTCCTAGAACCCCCAGCACTGGCATCCTGCTAGGGAGAGCTGGGGGTCACTGAGGAGAGGGTGTGGCGCTGGTGGCCAGTCTGGGTCCCTCCCCGAGAGCTGCAGCTGGCCTCCTTCTCCTCAGCCATCTGGGCCCGCAGGCTCACAGCCAACGCCCCCCAGTGCCTGGGCAGGGCAGGAGCTGGAGAGGCCCCCTGCACTCCCACACTCACCAGCTTGTTGGGGTAGCGTAGCACGACGGGCTGGACAGGGACCCCCGGGATGAAGGCACCTGCAGACAAGCCGGTCAGGCCCGGGCCGCACAGCGGGGGCTCCCCAGGACCCCCCACCCCGCGGACGAGGCACAGCCCACCGGGACAGGGAGGGACCCCCGGGTGGCACCAACTTCCAACCACACTGCATGGTGGATGTGGAGGATGGGTCATCCTGGGGTGCACTGCACTCTGGCTTCACACAGGGCACCCCTCGCCCCTGCAGGCGCCCGCTGCCTTGAGGGTCCCCCCATGCTCTATTACGCAGAGCTGGTCGCAGACCAGCGCAGGGGGCCCCAGCATGGGACACGCAGCTGGGACGGTGACCCCCGGCCCTCCGTGGTCCTACTCGGCCGCCTCCAGCCTGATGTGTCCAGCCCCCACGCCGTGGGGATGGCCATGTCCCAGGGTCTGAGGCCCGCAGCAACCCAGAGTGCCCCCAATCTCCTGGAGGGGCCCCTCCCGGACCCTTCAAGGCTAGGCCAGCCGCGAGGAGGCGCTGACCTGGACCCCCACCCTGGTCGCAGCCAGGGCTCATCCTCCTGCAAACACGCCCGTTTACTCTCCGGCTTTGCTCCGGGCCCACGGCAGACGCGTGTCAAGCCGAGCTGCTATTATTAACACGCGGCCTTCTCTCAAATACCAACTTAATATTTTCCTTTCTCGCGGAGGAAAAACAGTCTTAGGAAAATTTACATACCGGGCTTGAAGGTGATCAGGCACGTTCTGTTGGTGCAAGTCCCTTCTGGAAAGATCATTATCTTGGAACAGAAAAAGAGAGGTCAGCATGGGAGGGGGCAGAGGTCAGCACGGAGGGTCAGCACAGATGAGGCAGCACAGAGGTCAGCGTGGAGGGGGCAGCAAGAGGGGGTGGCGCGGAGGTCAGCACAAGGAGGTAGCATGGCGGTGACACGAAGGGGACAGCAAAGAGGCCAGCACGAAGGGGCAGCATGGAGGGGGCAGTGCGGAGGTCAGCATGAGGGGGCAGCATGGCGGTGACACGGAGGGGACAGCACAGAGGCCAGTGCAGAGGGGGCTGAGTGCTGAGATGGCGTTGCAAGGGCTGCCCCCTACTGGCAGCCATGAGAAGCGCAGCGTGAGCTGAAGCCTGTGGACGCTGGCCCTGTCCACCTAGGAGGACCTGGTCTGAGTGCTGAGTTGGCAGACACAGGTGGGGGTCTCGGGAGAAAGAATCGGGGAGAGGGACCCCGATAATGAGAGGCTGGTCCAGGCTACGGACAACCAAAGAACCAGAACAAGCCGACCTTGTCTGGGAACAGAGGCTCCCCTGCCCCCAGGGAACAGCATGGAGGGGCAGGGCCCGGCCTCACTGCCCGGCCGGCCCCACAGCCACTTTCCCCTTGGGAGTCGCCAACCGCTAGGGCCGGCTCCAGGCCTAGGCGGAGGTTCTGCTGGGTCCGGCTGGTCTCACCTGCGGCCACCTCCCGTTGGACTGGGCCCGCCTCTTAATCTCCTCCACCGTCTTCCTCCGGGAGTCCTGGTCCGAGCGCGACACGAACACAGGCCGGATGTACTTGATCAGGGCTGCAAGGCAGCGGTCGGTGGGCACCCATGCCACAGATCCCAGCCACCCGCCGGGGCGCCGCGAAAAGGGAGAACGCTGCCCGTTCCCCCCCAGGGGCAGCAGAGGGCACGCCCGGTGGGCGGGGGTCATGTGGCAGCCCAGCGGTGTGGGAAGGACAGGGGCAAGAAGAGGCCACACACAGGTCCCGGGCAGCTGGGAAGAGGACTTCCAGGGGGTGGATTGTGAGCAGGGACCCCAATTCTGGGGGCCCCTGGGTGCTGCAGGGTGTTGTGAGTATGGGGCCCCAGGTGCTGCGGGGGGCTGAGCTGCTTGCCACCTCCTGCGAGGTTCTGTGCCAGGGCCCCCCCGCCCAGGAGAGAGGCCCCAAGGTCAGTGCAGGGGCAGGGCTGGGCCCTCATCAGAGCTGGGTTGATGGGACCAAGGGAGGCTGCACAACCCCCAGGACGGGCACAGCCCAGGATGGGCACCCCATAACGGACACACTCCACAACAGACAGACCCCCATGACGGACACACCCCCAGGACGGGCACACCCTGGCCACACTCACTGCCCCAGATGGGGATGTCCCTGCTCTCTGCCTTCATGACGATGGACGACATGGTCATGGTGACGGGGATGGCGTCAAAGTAGGAGGAGTGAGGGGCCAGCGTGAGGATGGTGGCCTCGGTGGGCGGTGCCCGGCGCCCCTTCACGGACACGTGGTGGAAGCCGCCGGCGAACCACATGGTGCGCATGATGGCCTTCAGCAGGACATCCACCACCCTGCAGAGACGCGGCAGTGAGGAGACACAGCCTGCGCCTGTGTCACGGCCTGGCTGGGGGCCCATGAGGGGTGCCGGGGTCGGTTGGGGTCAGCGCTGTCCCCGCTGGACTATCTCCCAGTCAGTGTCAGGGGCATGCAGAGACCATAACCAGGCAGGAGAGAGGACCAGGGCCACGAGCAGAGACAAATGCAGGGACACGGGACAGGGACGGCCATGGGGAGGGGTCGGGGCTGGGGCCCTGAGGCAGAGGTTCCGCTCATACGCAGAGGGAAGGCACCAGAATGCGGGAAAACTAAGGCAGAGTTGCCCGTATGGAGCGTTGGACAGGCACACGCCCTCCAGCACACTCTTCAGACAGACCGGAGGGGACACACATGCAGGGATCCCAACACAGACACACAGGAACCCACAACACAGACACGCAGGGACTCCAACACAGACGTGCAGGGACCCACAACACAGACACACAGGGACCCACAACAGACAGACATGCAGAGACCCCAACACACAGACACACGGGGACCCACAACACACACAGACACACAGGAACCCACACCACACACAGACATGCAGGGACCCACAATGCTCACACGGAGACATGTGCACACAGAGATAACATACGGGAACATGCACACAGACAGAACACACACAGAGATAACACTCAGAGATAACACAGACACACAGAGACAACACACAGATACCACACTAAGGACACGCACAGAGATAACACAGCACACACAGGAACATGCAGAGATAGCGCACTACTGTGTGCACACTAGTAACTCATACACAGGAGCATGCCCTGCAGGCACACGCACGCAGACATACACACACTCGTGTAGGCACGAGCACGTGCAGTACAGCCTAATGCACTGGGCACCCTCCGAGCTCCCCTGGTCGCTTCCCGGAAGCCCTGGGGTGGAGGCACAGTGGGCACTGCCCCGGGCCTCGCAGAGCGAGCGTCAGCAGGGAACTGACCCCTTAGAGCAGAAAAGACCAGAACTACCCACCGCTAGAGGAGCCCAGGGAGCCGAGGAGAGGTGCCTACAGGCTGGCAGTGAGAGTTGGTGCTGGGGGCTGCGTCCTGCGCCCCAACACAGAGGTGCTCACAGGCCCAGCAGCGAGGGTCAGGGCTGGGGCTGCGTCTGCACCCCGACACAGAGCCAAGCAGTGTGGGCAGCCTGGGGGGCGCCCTGGGCCCTGGCTGTACTTACTTCCGCCACAGGGCGGGGTCTGTGGGGGGCTCCTGGTCCTCAGGTCCCAGCGAGGCGAGAAGGGCCAGGGGCCAGGCCAGCAGCATCATGAGGACAGCCAGCAGCAGCCGCACGGGGAAGAGGGTCAGCGACATCAGGAGCAGCTGGGGAGACAGGCCGGGCGGTGGTGGGCGGTGGCCCTGCACTGCCCACTGCCCTCGAGCTGCCCTGGCGTGGTGCAAGCTGACGGGGACAGGGCCGGGGCTGCAGGGCACCAGGGGGGTGGGCCTGGGGGTTGCAGAGGGTGGTGGGGAGGGCCGCACCCCTCCCCCCCACCTCTAAGCACTCCCCCAGCCTTGCAGATGACCATGGGGCAGGGAGAACCCTCAGCCAGTGGACGCTCTTGGAGATCACCAAACCTCAAGGGCACACACACAGGGCCCGGCTGTACCAGCGCTCACTTGGGCTGAGGACACAAGGGCCGGGGCAGGGCTGACCCCAGGCCCGGGGCATCGCCAGGAGGGTCTGACCCACCCGCACACTGTGGCCTCAACCCCCTCAGCCAGGACTGGTCAGAAGCAGTCGGCCCTGGGTGAGGCGGGAGGGACCAGTGCCTTCCCTGCCCCCAGGGCACCATGGGAGGACACTGGGGGACTCTAGGCTGGGACTCTGGGGCTGGGCAGGCAGGCCCTGTCCAGGGGCTGGAGGACATGTCCGCCCGAGTCCAGCCTCTCCTGCACAGGTACAGCTGCTCCCCAGGGCCCCGAGGGAGGTCACGACCACTTCCTGCCAGCGCCCCTCCCCTTGGCCCGGTCCCTGCCGGCTCCTGCGCACAGATGTGGTCGTGGGGGTCTGTCACGGTCCCCACATCTGGCGACAGTACACACACCCTGTACTCTGGGCGTGACCCGCACCGTTACCAAGATGGTCTCTACCACAAATACCGGGCACGGGGCCTCTCCTGGGGCCCGGGACCAGGGTTGAGGGTCCCCACCTGGGCAGCACCCGGTGGCCCTGGGGGTCCTGGGTGCAGAACTGTTTTCAGGGACAAGGCTGGGGCCTCCCAGCCCGGTCCCAAGAGGCAGAAACTCGAGGGACGACCTGGAAGGCTGTCACTCCTTCCAGAATCTTCCAGGGGCTCTGATGCCTGTTGGGCACCTCCAGCCCTGTCTTCTCCCGGGCCTGCCACAGCCCACCCAGCCAGTCCCCCCTGTCCCATAATGAACACTCGGGGACTTTGGGGGTGTGCACAGTCATCTGCGGGGCCACGATCGCTCCAGGGGGGCCGCGGGTGGGCAGCCCAGGCTCTGGCACAGGGGCTGAAGGACACGGGCAATGTGAGCAGAGCAGAGCAGGGGAAGGCCAGGCGGGCCCGTGACCCCAGAGCCGCACGCGGCCACTGAGTCACTGGGGGCTGCCCTGTGGTGTCTGCGTGTGCGGGCAGGCAAGGGCGGCGCCTCTGACTCAGGCAGACGGGGCGGCTGTGAGGAGGACCCTGTCCCACAGCGGGGCCCGGCTGACACCGGCCTCCAAGCACTGGCCCAGACAAAAGTCTCAGACCAGGGGCCCCGGGACAGGCAGAGGAAGTGACAGGGTCAAGCCCAGAGGCCCCCACACCCCACAGCACATGGATGTGCACACAGATGCACACACACCCATACAGGTAAGGACACGCCACTGGAATGCACACGTGGACACACAAACACAACATACAGCCATACAGACACATGGGCAGGGACACAGACAGACATACAGATACAAACACGACAGACAGACACATACAGGCACAGACACACAATCACACAGACACAGACACACACACGGTTACAGACACAACACATGAACAGACAGATGCAGACACACAGTCACACAGACGGACACGGCAGATGGACACATATGACATACGCCACACAGACACAACACATGGGCGTGCAGACACACGGTCAGACAGACACGGCAGACAGCACGTATGACACATGGTCAGAGACACATCACATGGACGGACAGACACATGGTCACACAGACACGGCAGACAGACACGTATGGCACATGGTACAGACATATCACATGGACGGACAGACACACAGTCACACAGACACACATGGCACACGGTACAGATGCCCAGACGAGGGCAGGCCAGGCAGGGACACAGGGAGAGGGCAGCGTCCATGCATCTGAGGTCAGGTGGGGCTGGGGGCAAACTGGGAGCCCTTGGCCTGAAGCCCACTCAGGAGACCAACTCAGCTGCTCAGGCCCCCAAGGCGGGGACAGGCCATCAGGTCACGGAGACGAGTGTGCAGGGGTGCCTGGAAAGGGATGCCCCCTCCACCTCTACTGGGGTCCCGCCCCGCACAGGACCAGCTTCGGGGTCTCAGCAGGTGCACGCAGCCCACCCGATGGGGGCACGGGGGAGCTCAGGGCTGCACCCATGGCACCCCCAGGAGGGTCTCCCACAGGGTGCAGGGCACGCCCACGCCTCACAACGGGGCAGGAGTGGCCGCAGGGATGGGTAAATGCCTCTGTGCTGGCTCTGTGCCAGGCGGGCGGGCGGCTGTGTTGGGGGCCTCTGCCAGGCCGTGTCTGAGTACCCCCAAGGAGGGCGGCGGAGGGGGGTCGTGGAGCAGGCAGCAGAGCACAGCTGTGAAGAAGCATGCGAGACGCTGGCAGGGGACCAGAGGGCCGGGCTTTAGCGGCCACTCCCCTGACTGCTGCTGCCGCGCAGCTCTGTGCCTGGCTGGCCATGCCTCCTCACACAGCCCTCGGGGGGCCGCGGGGTCCCAGTTCCTGCAAGGCCAAGCCTGGGCCGGGGCGGGGCAGGGCAGGCGCTGCAGGCCGTGGCATGCTGAGCGTCCGTCCGGGAGGCCTCAGCTCCCGCTGCCGTCACGGTTCAGGGAGCCCCAGTCCTGTCCCCGAGAGCCGCTCGCCCGCGTTGCTGGTGGCAGCAGGGCGCGAGGCCACCCAGGGGTGCCACCAGGGGCCGACGTGCTGCTGGTGACCTGCTGACCTCAGACCTCGGGGAGCAGAGGGCACCATACTCCCCTGGGGCGCCCAGTGAGTGGCAAACACATGCTCCCGGCGGGCAGCACCGGGCCTCGGGGGCAGGTCTTAGGAGTCCCGTGAACGCGGGCCTCAGGGATGGTGGCGTGGGGGGGGGGGGCCGGCGTGCTCCTCAACCCCTGCAGTCCCCAGCTGCAGAGGGGGGGTGGGCACGGGCCAGGCCGGGGCTCAGGGTCACCAAGGACAGCCGGCTGCCAGGGGGGAAGGGGCAGGCAGGTATGAGGTACCAGGCTGGGGGGCAGCGCCTCTGCAACTGGGTGGTCCTTGGCCCCAGCACAACCCTAGCACGGCCCCCCGCGGCTTCCCCAGATGTGGTGGGACCCCACACCCGTGACCCCAGCCAGAATTCCCACAGTGGGGGCTGCGATGCTGGGATGCCCCGAGTCTCTGCCACCGGCCACCACTCCCCGGGACCCATCCCGCCTCACCCCTGCCCCAGCTGCTCTGACTCCCCAGAACTACACAGCCCGCCACGGAGGACGCGTGCCCACCCACCGTGGTGGGTGCACGCCACAGACCCACGGCGCATGCATGCCACAGCACGTGACACCCACCCGCGGCACACCCATGTCACAGCACACGGGACACCAACCTGCGGCTCGTGCACGCCACAGCACACGGGACACCAACCTGCGGCACATGCATGCCACAGACCCACAGCGCGTGCCCGTGCATGCCACAGGACACGCCGCACCCACACATGACACACCAAGTGCGCGCACGCAGCAGCACAGTGACACAGCCACGGCACGCATGTGACACAGGTGCATGTGTGCCCCCAGGGTCAGTGCCAACAGCCCGGCACAACCCGTGCTCCGAGACCCCTCTCCCGTCCTGCTTCAGGGTGGTCCCCAGCTCTGGCCGTGCGTGGCTCCTAGGAGCCACGGGCAGGTCCACGCAGGGCACAGTCGTCCTGGCTGCTCGGGTCCACCATGACTGGACGCCACAGCGTCATTCATCCAGTCGGGCACACGGCTCACGCATGCGGTGGGCACGCACACCGCCAGGCTGGGGGGCTCCCGCCTGCCTAAGCGACCCCGAGGAGTGGTTGGGCGGAGAGGGGCACTGCAGAGGTCGTAGGGTGGGGCTGACTGGACCCCGATGCTGGGCACAGACAAATGGCCAGGATTCGGGTGCACAGGGGTGCAGGGGGCAGTCCAGGGTCCAGGTGCACAGGGGCAGGGGAGCGGAGGGCGGTCCAGGCCCGGGTGTGTGCAGGAGCGTGGGGGGTGGGGTGGTGCAGGCCCAGGTGCGGGGGGGGGGGGGGGGGGGGGGGGAGGGCGGGGGAGGCGGTCCAGGCCTGGGTGCACGCAGGGGCGGTGGGGGTGCACGGCCCAGGGCCTGGGTGCACAGTGCGGGGTGGGGGGTTCTGTCCAGGCCCGGGTGAGCACAGGGGAGCGGGGTGCGATCCAGGGCCTGGACCTGGCTGTAGTCAGGGTGGGGCAGGCGTCCACGGGGAAGCCACGCCTGGGCAGCTGTGCCCCCCACCCCGAGAAAGCAAGGGGGACTCGGGGCAGCTGGGCCTGGCCCTGCCCGGCCACACGGGAGCCCCTTATCCTGCTCCCACGCCCTGGCCGGGGCGGCTCTGCACGCGGATAAGGTGCCAGCACCCGTCCCCGCATGCCGGGCCCAGATACCCGCCCGTGGGCGTGGTGGCCACCCGGCGGCCAGCTTGGCTGGGCCCCACACGGCCAGTGGGCAGGGTCCTCACCCTGGCCCAGTGACCACGGCCAGCTGGGGACTCGGGCGGGACCTGGGGCGCTTTGGGTTCAAACCAGGCTCTGGGTCTGCATGTGGGAAGAGAAGGCCACCGGGGAAGGCTGAATGGTGGGCACGTGGCTCTCTAGGAGTCAGGCCGGGGGGCCACCTCCGGCCCGGCTTTCCAGGAAGTCATCCGGCGGACCTCCAGGCACGGAGGCGCAGGAGGGGGCGCCCCCGGAGGACCGGCGGGAGGACCCGCAGACGGACACACGGACATGTGACCGCCCCTGGCATAAGCCCGGGCTCAGGCTGAGCCCAGGGCCAGATGGTGGCACTAATCCGCGGGCCAGGCCACGAGGCTGTCAAGCCGGAGCCCGGGGCGGGGGCGCGGGAGGACCCGACCCCCTCCGGCACGCGCCGCCCGGGGTCGGGGTCTCGGCGGGCTCCTCCGACCGGCCGAGCGGCCCGGGCGCCACCACGGCCCCTTCCGCCCCCGGGGCGTGGACGCGGCCAAGCGGGGGCACGCACAGAACTGGCCCCGGGCAGCCGAGCCGGGGGCACCTGTGGGCGGCGGGGCGCCCCGAGCGCGGGCGGCGGGGAACCCGGCCGGCCTCCCGGAGGGCGGGGGGCGTGCCCGCCGCGACCCTTGGCCCCCGACTCCCGCGCGACTTCGGGAACTTTCCCGCGCGGCGGCTTCCGCGGGGCTCATCGGCAGCCCGCGCACGTCGGACCCCCGCGCCCCCGCGCCCCCCGCGCCCCCCCGCGGCCGGCCGGGGCGCGCGCACCCACCTGGGCCTTGTGCCGCGCGCCGAGGCGCAGCTCGTGCACGAAGGGGTTCCGCCCCGGGGGCGCCAGGCGCCGCGCGTCGCCGGGGCCCGCGCTCGCGGCGGGGGGCGGCCGCGGGGCCGCGTCCCCGCAGCCTCATGGCCGCGCGCCCCGCTGGGGGCAGCGGAGGGCCGGGGCGCGGGGGGCGCGGGCGGCGGCGGGCGGGCGCGGGGCGCGGGCCGAGGATGCGCGGCGGGAGCGGCGGGCGCGCAGGCGCAGGCGGGCCGGGCGGGGCGTCCGCGGGGCCCGCCCGCGGAGGCGGGGCGCGCGACTCGGCGTCCAGGCGCGGGCGGGTCCGGCCGAGTCGGTCCCCGCGCTGGCCGGGGGTGGGCGCGGCCCCCGCTCTCGGCCGGCCGGACAGCCGCACGTGGTGGCGGAGCGCGGGAACGCGGGACCCCCGGGCTCCGGGGCCTCTTGGCCGCCGCGCCGGGGGAGAGCGGCCGGGGGCGCCCGGTGCGTGCCCGGCGCCCCCCGACCGGTCCCCGCTGCTCCCGCGCCTCCTGCAGCCGGCCTGGGCGCCGGGCGTGCGGATGCAGCGCCACGGGGCCGAGGACACGGGGCGGCCCGAGACTTGGCAGACGGAAAGGAAAGCGCGTCTGTCCGCGCCCATTTGTGCGGGACAGGCAGTGCCCTGCGTCCCCCCGGGCCAGGGTGACACGCTTGGCCTGCAGGCTCAGGTGCTGAAGCCGTCCCTGGCTCCGGGCGCCCATTGTGCTGATGGCCTGCCAGCAAGGGGTTCCAGCAAGCACCGGGGCACCAGGTTGGGTGCAGGTGGGGGACCACGGAGGGAGCTGCGCCCCGCTGGGGCCTGGGGAGGGGACGACCCGGGGCCAGGTGGGGAAGCCTGGCCCCAGGGCGAGCTCTCCACTGCCCATTCCAAAGGCAGGTGAGGCCCCAGGGCCCTGATGGCACTGGGACTGGGGACACCTGTGTGGGGCGGGTCCCACAGGGAAGCGCTGCATACTGCTGAAGTCCGCCTGGGGCTTCTGTTGGCCTCGGGCGATTGGCGGAAACCAATCCCGTTCCTTGGCCCTGACCAGGCTGAGTGTGCAGTATCCGCTCTGGTCCTCGGCCTGGCCCGTGGTGGATGTTAGGCCCTAAGGACCCACTGCTGCGGCCCTTGGGGCAGAACCCTGCTGGCGCCCTGCTTGGGGGTGGGGGTGGGGTGAAGCCAGCCTGCACCTCAGGCCCCACTCCAATTCAGAGGGAGCCGAGATGGGGGTGACAGTCCTCTGCAAGAGAAGCTGGCTGTGGACCTGGACGGGGCTAAGTGGGAGCAAGTGGTGGCCCTGAGTCCCCAGCAGCCTGCCCCACTGTGGCCCCGGCCCCCTCAGACCACCCTCCAAACATAAAGGCTGAAGCCCCACGCAGCTGTTCCCTTCCAAGCAGGGGTTTGCGTGGGGGCATCTGAAGGCCTGGGTCAGTGCCCCATGGGGAATGGGCCACCTTCTCCAGTGCCCCATGGGGGACGGGTCTCTCCCAGCGCCTCCTGAGGTCCTGCCTGCTTCCTGCCATGTGTCCATTTCCATAGTGCCCCATGGGGGGAGGGTCACCTTCAGTGCCTCGTGGGGGACGGGTCAGCTTTTCCATTTCTGAGTCAGTTTGGACAAGCTCAGTATCCCTAGGAATTTGTCCTTCCAGGATCAATGGGCAGAACTATTCCTGTGGCCCCTTGCAGCCTTGGACGTGCCAGAGTGACCCGCTCCCTGACTGCAGGTCGGGGGCCTCCTTGTTTCTCTCATTCGCTCCGGAGATCCGACGTCCGGACCTTCTAAATGAGCTTCCTTTGTCTTTCCTATTACGTTTCTGCTTCTGGTGTTACGGATTCCTGTTATGGTTATTATTTCCTTCCTTCCCCGGGCCTGGGGTGTCATCTGCTCCCCAGCCCTCCCTGTGGAAGTGGGTTCATTTCCTATTCCGACCCCTGCCCGGAAGTTCTGTCTGCGCTCCCTGTGGGGCTGTCTGGGCGGGGGCTAGGGACTGTTCTGGTCGGGGGGCTCTCCCTGTGTAGGGCGGTCCGGGCCGGGGCTCTCCCAGCGCCTCCTGAGGTCCTGCCGGCTTCCTGCCATGTGTCCATTTCCAAACATTCAGACGATTTCCAGAGGCGTATCTGGTGCTCGTCAGTGCCGCCCCTCAGTGCTCAGAACATACAGGGGCTTTGCGTGGGGGCTGCGGGGGCCAGGGCACTGCGGGGCTGGGCGGCCAGTTACCTGCCAGTCTGTTTCCTCTTCCACACCCCTTGGTCTTTGCTCGCCTATTTTGTTTGTGTTTTTGTTTGCTCTGTGTCTGGGCCACGTACAGTGGTGCTCAGGGCTGGCTCCCAGCCATTCTCAGAGGACTGTGGGTATTGGGTCTGGCATGTGGCTGCACAGCCCAGGTACCTCTGAGCCTGGCCCAGCGCCTGCCCCAATCTCGTGAGGGTGTTACTGGACTACGGAGAATTGTGTGTCCCCTGGTGACTGGACCTCCCGTCTCCTGGAGTGGGGTCAGGGTCCCAGGCCTTCAGGGAAAGTGCATTTCCTCACCATCCCTGTCCAGTGAGGACGGGTTGTGGCCGTGGCTCCGTGGGTGCCCTGGGGGCCCTGGGGTGTGGGTGGGCACCAAGGGGCCTCCTGTTTTGGGGCTCACCGACATCCTAGGCCTCTGGTGCTGTTGGCAGGACAGTGCCTGGGGGAAGTTGGCTCACAGATGCCAGGAGGAAGGCTCAGCTGCACCCCAGCACACGCCTGCGTCTGGGAGGGGCTGCTGTGGCCCAGACAGTGGGGGGCCATGCACCACACATGGCCTGTGCCCGCACCCCCATCGCATCCTTGGGGTTACCAGTAGATACGGAGTCGTGCCCACCAGCCCAGGGCCCCCACTGCTCTCTGTTCTTGGGCACCTGCACTCTTACTGGCCACTCTTCCCTTCACCTGCCCTTCTCTGTTGCCCGGCCACCACACTTTCCAGACCCAGCTTTTGAGGCCTCCCCTGGCCAAGGGGGCCTACAGGGGTCCCCAGAGAGGGCTGCCGTGTCCCCAGATTCACACCCCCATAGTGGTGGGGTGAGGGTCGGGACCAGCCCATTTGCATGTATGCCTGTGTGGGCTTGAGTCTCTCTCTTGCCTGCCACATGCCCCCTTTCTCTTGGGGCTGTGTGACTGCACCCCACCAGCAGGCAGGCAACCCTGGCTCATACATTCCCGATGGACTGGACTGTGTGTGTGTGTGTGTGTGTGTGTGTGTGTGTGTGTGTGTGTATGGGCCTTGGAACATGGTAGGCCTTAGTTGGCTGCTCCTAGCCACCTCTGCACCCCCACTCCTGTATGTATAGCAATCTGTGTGCCTGCACCCCCACTCCCGCACACACCCATATTACACAACCTGTATCCCACACCAGCACACACACGTGTACATGCCTGTCCTGTAGAGACAGCTACACAAAGTTCTGCCTTGCATACCCCATATCTGCACACACCTGCCACACACACACCCCTGCACACATGCACCCCTGCACACACCTGCCCTGCCACATAACCCTGTGGACACTCACCCCTCACACACCTGCCCTTCCACACTAACCCTGCAACACACAGACCTGCACACACACACCCCTGCATAAACCCCTGCCCACAAACACCCCTGTACACACGCACACATGTACACACCACTCCTGCATACACTCATACCTGCACATTCACCCCTACATGCACCCCTGCAACACTCATCTCTGCACACACATGTCCCTACACCCCTGCACACACGCACTCCTGCACACTCACCAGCCCACACTGCCCTATGGACACTGCTGCCCTCTCCACATCACCCCACAGGAACTGGGGCCTGTTTGCTGTCCCAGCACTTCTCACTGAGCAAACAGGAAGTCAACCCGAGTGGGGGCACCTGTCTCTGACGACGGGGCTGAGCAGCACCTGACCCAGCTGCGCTCAGATGCTTCCTGTCCGGAACTGGCTCGCTCACCCCCTGGGGGCCAAGAATGTCAAGGAGCCACCTAAGGATAGTAGATAGGACAGCCAGATTGCTCGATAGCTGGAAGTCTGCTTCATGAGCTGGGGGAGAAGGCAGCTGGAATAGAGAAGGGATCACTAAGAAAATGATGGCTTGAAGAACCAGTCAGGATGGGAGGTGTGTGCAGAAAGTAGATAAAGGACCAAACATGATAACCTCTCAGTATCTGTATTGCAAACCATAATGCTCAAAAGCAGAGAGAGATTATGGGGAATATTGTCTGCCATGGAGGCAGGGGGAGGGTGGAAAAGGGGGGGTATACTGGGGATATTGGTGGTGGGGAATGTGCACTGGTGGAGGGATGGGAGTTTGATCATTGTGTGATTGTAACCCAAACATGAAAGCCTGTAACTATCTCATGGTGATTCAATAAAATTAAAGAAAAAAAAAAAAGAATGTCAAGGACCAGGTCTCCCTCCCGCCTGTCTCTGAGGCTACAGCAACCAGCGGGCCTGCGTGGGTCCAAGGGGCAGGTTCTGGTCTGTTCCAGAACGCCGGGTGCTTGGGGAACTGTGTCGAGGGAGTGTGGAATCAGGATGCTGTGATAGGCAGGAACAGGGGGCAGGGGCTCTGTGTTAACAGGGACGTGGAGGCAGGAACCCTGTGTTGGGGGACACAGCCTGGGATCAGGGTGTCACATTCAGCATCCCAGCTGGAGTGTGGGGTCAGAGGTGACATGGGGGCATCACGATGAGGATCAGGACTCATCCTCCTGATTCTGAGTCCACGGAGCTGCCAGCTCTCTCCACCCACCCTGCAGGGACCCCCAGGTGAGGCCGAAGCTGGTGGGGGTCAGGGACAGAAGGACATTGCTCGCAATAGCTGAGAGTCTGGCCGAGCCATGCAGCACAGAACAGAACAGAGATGGTTCCAGCTGGACCAGCACCCCTGGACTCTACCCCCATGCTCTGCCTGCCACGGGGGCCACTTGCGCCCCTCCTGCCCCAGCTCTTAGCACAGCAGCCCAGGCCAGCCAGGGCCCATCCACTGCCGTACGGGCCCACGCCCAGACAGGGCCTACGCCTGTTGTGAGGATGAGGGTCTGTCCACACCTGGGGACCACAGCATCAGGTTCAGGGACAAAGAGCCTGCCACAAGCACCAGGCGGTGTAGGCGGACACTGGGGGTGCTGCTGGCGAGCGTGCACCCGGCCCAGTGAGGTCGGGCTCTGGCATGGCCATCACACCCCAGCCTTGGGGGCACAAGGGAAGGCCCAGGACCCCTGGTGGGCACTCAGGGCTGTTATGGCTATGGAACCTGTCTGGATACCAGGCACAGACTTTGGGATTACCGTGGGCAAAGCAAATGAGTTAGCATGGGCCAGATGGAACTGTGGGGGAATGTTGGGGGCTCCCAGCCGCCAGCGAGGCCGATCACGTCAGCCTGTGACCGCAGACCCGACTGTCCGAGTGGGGGCCACTTCCTGTTGCTTTTTTTGCTCATGCAGCTCTGGCCTTCAGATGCGCCCGTTCAGCTCTCCCTCAGTGGCTTCCTCTGCGAGTCCAACTGTTGAACAGCCAGTTTGCTGCTCGGCTGCCAAGCGCCTTCACGTGTGTGTGCCGGGAGCTGCGCCTTGCTCAGAAACGACACGGAAGGACCCGC